ATGACACATTTAACTTCACTGGATGATAACAAGTTTTATAGGTACATTTTGTACTGACTTACTATGACACTTTTTGTCCTTATCAGTTTTGGTACATAATCGACTTCCCATGTGTGCTGTGCAAGAATCTGTAAATAAAAAAAAAAAACTAATATAAACAAACAAGACAAAAAACGACAACACTTCTCTTGAGGACCTTTTCACACCCCACTCCATTCCTTATTTATGGGGGACCAATTCAACGGACTCACACACATAATTAAACTCAACAGAACTCACTCATCCACTCTTCCACTATCCATTTACTGAATATAGTTAAATGACTTACACATAACAAATATTGTATAATTGTCTTCAAAGGTTAAAAAAGCTTTCTCAGACTGACAAGGAATCTCTGGTATTTTGTCATGATTGATGAATAGGATCCTACTTGTTTCTGATTGGCATCGTTTCCAAATGACGTATTCATGTGGGACTGAGGCTGGTCAGGAATGATCAAAAAATCTGTGGTATAAGTGTCATCTGTGGGAGACAGAAGGTATGAGGATTTACAATTGAACACTAAAATAATCACCGTCTAAAACAGTGATTACAAATTAAAATCAAAAGACCACTCAAGCAGTCCCAAATACTACCAGCAGTACACAAATCATAGTTTGACTGATGTAAAACCAACTTGTTTGTACATACACACATCTAGGGTTGGGGACACGTCTCATGAGGACCTTTTCACACCCCTCTCAATTCCTTCATGGGGGACCAATTCAATTGACTTTCACACACTGATCAACTCATCAGCAGTCACTCCAGGTGTGCTATGGGGACATTGTGAGGGCTATTTCACACACTTCCATTCCTTCTTTACGGGGACCGTTTCAATGGACTTTCACACATGATTAAACTCAACAGAAGTGTTTTATGGGGACATCGTGAGGGTTCATTTGAAAGAAACATTTAAGTAAAAAGTCCTTGTCTGCAATGACCAAAAAAGGCTTAAAGTATTCTCCTTCTTTTCCACTTACTGAATATAGTTTAATGAGTTACACATGAAAAATCTTATACAAATGACTTCAAATGTTAAAAAGCTTTCTCAGAATTGACAAAGAACCTCTGGAATCTTGTCATGATTGATACAAATTATCCTACCTGTTTCTGAGGGGCATCGTTTGCAAATGACGTATTCATGTGGCACTGAGGCTGGTCAGAATGATCAACAGAACCTGGAGTAGTGCAATCTGCTGTCACGTGGGTCATCTGTGTGAATCAGAAGGTATGAGGATTTACTATAAAACACTATAATAATCACCGTCTTAAACAGAGATCACAAATTTAATTTAATAGAACCACCCAAGAAGGCCAAAGTACTACCAGAAGTCCACAAATCATATTTTGACAGATGTAAAACAAACTTATTTGCACATACACACATCTAGGGTCGGGGACATGTCTCATGAGGACCTTTTCACACCCCCACCCCATTCCTTCATGGGGACCAATTCAATGGACTTTCACACACGGTTCAACTCATCAGCAGTCACTCAAAGTGTGTTATGGGGACATTTTGATGGCCATTTCACACACTTCCATTCCTCCTTTACGGGGACCAATTCAATGGACTTTCACACATGTTTAATAGAAGTCACTCAAAGTGTTTTATGGGGACATCGTGAGGGTTCATTTGAAAGAAACATTTAGGTAAAAAGTCCTTGTCTGCAATGACCAAAAAAGGCTTAAAGTATTCTCCTTCCACTATTCCACTTACTGAATATAGTTTAATGAGTTACACATGACAAATCTTATACAAATGACTTCAAATGTTGAAAAGTTTTCTCAGAACTGACAAAGAACCTCTGGAATTTTGTCATGATTGATACAAATTATCCTACCTGTTTCTGAGGGGCATCATTTGCAAATGACGTATTCATGTGGCACTGAGGCTGGTCAGAATGATCAACAGAACCTGGAGTAGTGCAATCTGCTGTCACGTGGGTCATCTGTGTGAATCAGAAGGTATGAGGATTTACTATAAAACACTTGAATAATCACCGTCTTAAACAGAGATCACAAATTTTATTTAATAGAACCACCCAAGAAGGCCAAAGTACTACCAGAAGTACACAAATCATAGTTTGACAGATGTAAAACAAACGTATTTACACATACACACATCTAGGGTCGGGGACATGTCTCATGAGGACCTTTTCACACCCCCGCCCCATTCCTTCATGGGGACCATTTCAATGGACTTTCACACACGGTTCAACTCATCAGCAGTCACTCAAAGTGTGTTATGGGGGACATTTTGATGACCATTTCACACACTTCCATTCCTCCTTTACGGGGACCAATTCAATGGACTTTCACACATGTTTAATAGAAGTCACTCAAAGTGTTTTATGGGGACATCGTGAGGGTTCATTTGAAAGAAACATTTATGTAAAAAGTCCTTGTCTGCAATGACAAAAAAAGGCTTAAAGTATTCTCCTTCCACTATTCCACTTACTGAATATAGTTTAATGAGTTACACATGACAAATCTTATACAAATGACTTCAAATGTTGAAAAGCTTTCTCAGAACTGACAAAGAACCTCTGGAATTTTGTCATGATTGATAAAAATTATCCTACCTGTTTCTGAGGGGCATCGTTTGCAAATGACGTATTCATGTGGCACTGAGGCTGGTCAGAATGATCAACAGAACCTGGAGTAGTGCAATCTGCTGTCACGTGGGTCATCTGTGTGAATCAGAAGGTATGAGGATTTACTATAAAACACTTGAATAATCACCGTCTTAAACAGAGATCACAAATTTAATTTAATAGAACCACCCAAGAAGGCCAAAGTACTACCAGAAGTACACAAATCATAGTTTGACAGATGTAAAACAAACTTATTTGCACATACACACATCTAGGGTCGGGGACATGCCTCATGAGGACCTTTTCACACCCCCGCCCCATTCCTTCATGGGGACCAATTCAATGGACTTTCACACACGGTTCAACTCATCAGCAGTCACTCAAAGTGTGTTATGGGGACATTTTGATGGCCATTTCACACACTTCCATTCCTCCTTTACGGGGACCAATTCAATGGACTTTCACACATGTTTAATAGAAGTCACTCAAAGTGTTTTATGGGGACATCGTGAGGGTTCATTTGAAAGAAACATTTAAGTAAAAAGTCCTTGTCTGCAATGACAAAAAAAGGCTTAAAGTATTCTCCTTCCACTATTCCACTTACTGAATATAGTTTAATGAGTTACACATGACAAATCTTATACAAATGACTTCAAATGTTGAAAAGCTTTCTCAGAACTGACAAAGAACCTCTGGAATTTTGTCATGATTGATACAAATTATCCTACCTGTTTCTGAGGGGTATCATTTGCAAATGACATATTCATGTGGCACTGAGGCTGGTCAGAATGATCAACAGAACCTGGAGTAGTGCAATCTGCTGTCACGTGGGTCATCTGTGTGAATCAGAAGGTATGAGGATTTACTATAAAACACTTGAATAATCACCGTCTTAAACAGAGACCACAAATTTAATTTAATAGAACCACCCAAGAAGGCCAAATTACTACCAGAAGTACACAAATCATAGTTTGACAGATGTAAAACAAACGTATTTACACATACACACATCTAGGGTCGGGGACATGTCTCATGAGGACCTTTTCACACCCCCGCCCCATTCCTTCATGGGGACCAATTCAATGGACTTTCACACACGGTTCAACTCATCAGCAGTCACTCAAAGTGTGTTATGGGGACATTTTGATGACCATTTCACACACTTCCATTCCTCCTTTACGGGGACCAATTCAATGGTCTTTCACACATGTTTAATAGAAGTCACTCAAAGTGTTTTATGGGGACATCGTGAGGGTTAATTTGAAAGAAACATTTAAGTAAAAAGTCCTTGTCTGCAAAGACCAAAAAAGGCTTAAAGTATTCTCCTTCCACTATTCCACTTACTGAATATAGTTTAATGAGTGACACAAAACAAATCTAAGATAATTGACTTCAAATGTTATAAAACCTTTTCAGAACTGACAAAGAACCTCTGGTATTTTGTCATGATTGATAAAAATTATCCTACCTGTTTCTGAGGGGCATCGTTTGCAAATGACGTATTCATGTGGCACTGAGGCTGGTCAGAATGATCAACAGAACCTGGAGTAGTGCAATCTGCTGTCACGTGGGTCATCTGTGGGAAACAGAAGGTATGAGGATTTACAATAACACACTATAATAATCACCATCTCAAACAGAGATCACAAATTTAATTTAATATAACCACCCAAGAAGGCCAAAGTACTACCAGCAGTTCACAAATCATAGATTGACAGATTTAAAACAAACTTATTTGCACATACACACATCTATGGTCGGGGACATGCCTCATGAGGACCTTTTCACACCCCCGCCCCATTCCTTCATGGGGACCAATTCAATGGACTTTCACACACGGTTCAACTCATCAGCAGTCACTCAAAGTGTGTTATGGGGACATTTTGATGGTCATTTCACACACTTCCATTCCTCCTTTACGGGGACCAATTCAATGGACTTTCACACATGTTTAATAGAAGTCACTCAAAGTGTATTATGGGGACATCGGGAGAGTTCAATTTAAAGAAACATTTGAGTAAAAAGTTCTCGTCTGCCATGACCAAAAAAGGTAAAAAATACTCTCCTTCGACAATTCCACTTACTGAATATAGTTTAACGAGTGACACATAACAAATCTAAGATAATTGACTTCAGATGTTATAAAAACATTTCAGAACTGACAAAGAACCTCTGGTATTTTGTCATGATTGATAAATATGATCTTACCTTAATCTGATAGGCATCGTTTCCAAATGACATATTCATGTGGCACTGAGGCTGGTCAGAATGATCAAGAAAACCTGTAGTTGAGCCATCTGCTGTCACATGGGTCATCCGTGGGAGACATAAGGTATAAGGATTTATAATAAAACACTAAAATAATCATGGTCTAGAACAGAGATCACAAATTTAAATTTAAAGAACCACCCAAGGGGGCCCAAGTATTACCAGCAGTACACAAATCATAGTTTGACAGATGTAAACCCAACTTGTTTGTACACACACACATCTAGAGTCTGGAACACGTCTCATGAGGACCTTTTCACACCCCTCTCAATTCCTTCATGGGGACCAATTCAATTAACTTTCACAAACAATTCCACTCATCATCAGTCACTCCTAGTGCGTTATGGGGACCTTTTTAGGACCATTTCAAACACTTCTATTCCTTCTTTACGGGGACCATTTCAACAGACTTTCACACATGATTAAACTCAACAGAAGTCACTCAATTTATTATGGGGACATTGTGATGGTTCATTTGAAAAAGGCTAAAAATATTCTACTTCCACTTATCTACTTACTGAATATAGTTAAATGAGTTAAACATAACAAATCTTATATAATTGACTTCAAATGTTAAAAAGCTTGCTCAGAACTGACAAAGAATGGTCAGAATGATCAAGAAAGCCTGTTGTAAAGCCATCTGCTGACACGTGGGTCATCTGTGGGAGACAGAAGGTATAAGACTTTACAATAGAACACTATAATAATCTATAAGTCTAAAACAGTGCTCCAATTTTTCCAACCAAGCCCCATGTTATAAAATACTGAAATGTACCACCAGGTCTGGATCACCATGAAACAAGATAAGAGAAACTTAATTGATCTCACAGTGGAGAATCAGGGTTTATAAAGGTCTAAACTAGACTTCCTGAAGTCTACCTAAAGCCTTGTCTATAGCAGAAAACTCCAAGCTCCAAGTCATAACTAAAACAATCATACAATGTAAAATCACCACCATAGGAGGCCATTTCACACACTTCCATTCATTCTTTATGGGGACCAATGAAACAAACTTTCAAACATAGTTCAAGTCAATAGCAGTAACTGAAAGGGCATTCTTTGTATTAGGTTAGAAATAAGCAATTATTTTAAGCGTGTGTTTGTGACATACTCTTTCTCTCCATGGGCAGTCATCTCAATCAATCAATCAACGTTTATTTATAGAGCGCCTTTCCTACACAAGGCAACGCAAAGCGCCTCACAACCCATATAACATCATGCATAAATCATCAAACATTAGAATTTAAGTAAACATAAAAAGACAGATTAAGAGCACAAGATATATAAAATCACACAAGTAGTTAAAAACCGTAAAACATTAAAATCACACAAGGGATTACAATCATAAATAATCATAAATAATCATAGCGCATTAAAAAGATTAAAGATAAAAACAAATATAAAATCATTCACTTGTATGCACAGCTAAAAAGAACTGTTTTCAGTTCAGTTTTAAAAACTGCTAGAGTAGACGCCTGTCTCACACTCTCGGAAAGACGGTTCCAGACTCTAGCTGCATGAATCTGAAACGCAGCCTCCCCATGTCTAGTTCCGACTCTTGGCACTAACAGAAGTCCAGTCCCTGTGCTCCTCAGAGCCCGAGTTGGTTCATATGGCACCAACATGTCGCGGATGTACCCTGGTGCGAGGCCATGGAGAGACTTGTACACAAGTAAAGCTACTTTAAAATCTATTCTCTGAGCCACAGGAAGCCAGTGCAGAGACCTGAGGACCGGACTAATGTGGTCGTACTTCCTGGTTCTAGTCAGGACTCGAGCTGCAGCATTTTGGATGTACTGCAGCTGTTTTACCGCTTGTTTAGAGAGACCTGTGAACAAGCCATTGCAGTAGTCCAATCGACTGGAGACAAATGCGTGGATAAGAATCTCCAAGTCTGCTTTAGACACAATGTTTTTAATTTTAGCAATGTTTCTTAGGTGGAAGTAAGCTGATGATGTCACAGATGATATGTGGCTATTGAAATTTAAGTCTGAGTCCATTATTACTCCTAGATTTCTGACCTGAGTTGAGGGTTTTAGGGAGAGAGACTGGAGGTGGCAGATAACGCTCTCTCTTTGTTTTTGAGGTCCGAAAACAATAATTTCAGTTTTTTCTGTGTTTAGCTGGAGAAAGTTATTTTGCATCCAATCACTGATTTGTTGGATACAGTGAAGGAGCGAGTCCACTGGTCCATGTTCTCCTGCTGTCAGGGACACATAGACCTGAGTATCGTCAGCATAATTGTGATAGGACACGTTATTACTGTGTATTAACCTACCCAGAGGCAGCATGTAAATATTAAACAGGAGAGGCCCCAGGATTGATCCCTGTGGCACTCCGCAGGTTAGGGCCAGATGGTCTGAGATACAGTTTCCGATCTCCACAAAATACTTTCTGTCCTGTAGGTAGGATATAAACCAGCTTAGGGCTGTTCCAGAAACACCAACCCAGTCCTCAAGTCTCTGAATGAGGATACCATGATCGACAGTGTCGAAAGCAGCACTTAAATCTAACAGGATAAGAACTGAGACTTTTCCTGCGTCAGTGTTATGGTGTTATCTCCACCATAATCATAAGTAATTTCTTCTCCTTTTTTGTCTCGTAATGCTTCTTTTCATCTTACAATTTGGGTGGATGTGGTCATCATTAACAATACGCCCAAATGTGCCATCTTGTACTGAAGCATCAATGCTGAAAAAAAAGAAATATATATATTGATATATAAAAACTTTTAAACACATACTATATGCACATACATTATACAGTATAGTGCTACAATCACCAAGCTTACATACTCAAAGCTTACCTATATTTATCAATTCAAATTATATAATACAGAGACAGCTTTTTCAGCTAAATTTTCAAACCCCACAGACAGAGGTTTTTCTGGGCTAATTCGTGGTGCCATTTAAATCATCAAAAACTGAAACAACAGAATGCATAATTATGATTTCACTTGAGTCATTTTTTGAAACAATTCTATTACATTTGTAATTTATTTTATCTGTAGGTTTGGTACAGCTGTTTCTACTATATTACTTCCAAATATCTTCTATATCTAATATATTTTAATACATAATTACAAATCAAACCTTTACTTTCAACATTTAGTCAGGTACTCAATTAATATATTCATCCAGTACTTCAGTAACTTTTCTTTTTCCTTTCTACTTGAAGAAATTAAATATTTCTGCTATTTGAGGGAGAGGGGTGATCGGGAAGAGCGGCCCCCCTGATCTGAACCCGAGCGGTGTTCAGTTGTTGGACTTCTGTGCCAGTCACGGCCTGTCCATCACGAACACCATGTTCGAGCACAAGGGTGTCCATCAGTGCACGTGGCACCAGGACACCCTAGGCCGGAGGTCGATGATCGACTTTGTAGTCGTATCATCTGACCTTCGACCGCGTGTCTCGGACACTCGGGTGAAGAGAGGGGCGGAGCTGTCAACCGATCATCACCTGGTCGTGAGTTGGATCCGCTGGCAGGGCAGGAGGCCGGTCAGACCTGGCAGGCCCAAGCGTGTAGTGAGGGTTTGCTGGGAACGTCTCGCTGAGCCCCCTGTCAGACGGACTTTCAACTCACACCTCCGGGAGAGCTTCTCCCAGGTCCCGGCAGAGGAGGGGGACATCGAGTCCGAGTGGACCATGTTCTCTTCCTCTATCGCCAATGCGGCGGCTCGTAGCTGTGGTCGCAAGGTCTCTGGTGCTGGTCCCGGCGGCAATCCCCGAACCCGGTGGTGGACACCGGCAGTAAGGGATGCCGTCAGGCTGAAGAAGGAGTCCTATCGAGCAATGATGGTTCGTGGGACTCCTGAGGCAGCTGTCCAGTACCGGCAGGCCAAACGTGCCGCGGCCCGGGCTGTTGCAGAGGCAAAAATCCGGGACTGGGAGGAGTTCGGAGAGTCCATGGAGCATGACTATCGGTCGGCCTCGAAGAGGTTCTGGCAAACCGTCCGGCGCCTCAGGAGGGGGAAGCAGTTCTTTGCCAACACCGTGTATGGTGCGGGTGGAGGGCTGCTGACCTCGACTGGGGATATTGTCGGGCGGTGGAAGGAATACTTCGAGGTTCTCCTCAATCCCCCCGTCACGTCCCCCGTCCAGGAGGCAGAGGCTGAGGATGTTGGGGCGGATACTTCCATCTCCCTGGCCGAGGTCACCAAGGTGGTTGGCAGCCTCCATGGTGGCAAGGCGCCGGGAGTGGATGAGATCCGTCCTGACTATCTAAAGTCTCTGGATGTTGTAGGACTGTCTTGGCTGACACGTCTCTGCAACATCGCGTGGCGATCGGGGGCGGTGCCAATGGAGTGGCAGACCGGGGTGGTGGTCCCTCTCTACAAGAAGGGGGACCGGAGGGTGTGTTCCAATTATCGTGGGATCACACTCCTCAGCCTCCCCGGTAAGGTCTACTCCAAGGTACTGGAGAGGAGGCTTCGTCCGATGGTCGAATCTCGGATTCAGGAGGAGCAGTGTGGTTTTCGTCCCGGTCGCGGAACACTGGACCAGCTCTATACTCTCCATCGGATACTCGAGGGTTCATGGGAGTTCGCCCAACCTGTCCACATGTGCTTTGTGGATTTGGAGAAGGCGTTCGACCGCGTTCCCCGGGGTGTCCTTTGGGGGGTCCTCCGGGAGTACGGGGTCCGGGGTCCTCTGCTGAGGGCTGTTCGGTCCCTGTATGACCGGAGCCAGAGCTGTGTTCGCATTGCTGGCAGTAAGTCAGACCTGTTCCCGGTGCATGTTGGCCTCCGCCAAGGCTGCCCTTTGTCACCGGTTCTGTTCACTGTATTTATGGACAGAATCTCTAGGCGCAGCCAGGGGCCGGAGGGGGTCCGGTTCGGGAACCACAGGATTTCATCTCTACTTTTTGCGGATGATGTCGTCCTGCTGGCTCCAACGAACCAGGACCTGCAACATGCACTGGGACGGTTTGCAGCGAGTGTGAAGCGGCTGGGATGAGAATCAGCACCTCCAAATCCGAGGCCATGGTGCTTGACCGGAAAAAGGTGCCTTGCCCTCTCCAGGTGGGTGGAGAGGTCCTTCCTCAAGTGGAGGAGTTCAAGTATCTCGGGGTCTTGTTCACGAGTGAGGGGAGGATGGAGCGTGAGATTGACAGGCGGATCGGTGCAGCGTGCGCAGTGATGCGGTCTCTGTATCGGACCGTTGTGGTAAAGAGGGAGCTGAGCCGAAAGGCAAAGCTCTCAATTTACCGGTCAATCTTCGTTCCCTCCCTCACCTATGGTCATGAGCTGTGGGTAATGACCGAAAGAACGAGATCGCGGATACAAGCGGTCGAAATGAGCTTCCTCCGCAGAGTGGCTGGGCGCTCCCTTAGAGATAGGGTGAGGAGCTCGGTCACACGGGAGGAGCTCGGAGTAAGAGCCGCTGCTTCTCCACGTCGAGAGGAACCAGTTGAGGTGGCTCGGGCATCTGTTCAGGATGCCTCCTGGACGCCTTCCTGGGGAGGTGTTCCGGGCACGTCCCACCGGGAGGAGGCCCCGGGGAAGACCCAGGACACGCTGGAGAGACTATGTCTCTCAGCTGGCCTGGGAACGCCTAGGGGTCCCCCCGGACGAGCTTGAGGAGGTGTGTGTGGATAGGGAAGTCTGGGCGTCTCTGCTTAGACTGCTGCCCCCGCGACCCGGCAACGGATAAAGCGGAAGAAAATGGATGGATGGATGGATGCTATTTGACCCACTTAATTCTTAAAATAAAACTAAACTGCAAACTACTTCTTAATAAGTAAAGCCACTATAGGTTACTGCTATTACATAGAAAGCTTTAGTTGTATCATTCAGAGCCTGTATATGTACTGAGAAACCTTTAGTTGCTTCTTGAAAGTACCACACACAAGTTGATTACTATACGAGCTAGTTGCTAATGCTAACAGGTTGTATATTAAAATCACATCTAATCTTGCTTAAAAAGGGAAACCATGCAAAGTAAATCACTGAATCTGTACTTATTACACAGTTTATTCGTTTTGCATGAGCATTGAACAGATACAGTCTTTAGTATAGCTACCAGCAAAGAGTACTCAGATTCTTTAGCCTGTTTACTCTGACACTAGCTTGTTAGCAAAAATCGGTGCTAACTTCCTAGCTAGCTACTTCTAGTACATAAGAAGCTCTACTTATGTAATTTAGTCACCACTCGTTTACTGCGAAGACAACTGTTCGCCATCTGAATGTCCTTTTAGAAGGGAACATTGACCCATGTGCTGTTTGGTAGAATCTGCTGTCCAAGCTAGTTGCTAATGCTAGCTCCAACAAGTTGCCAATGCTAGCTCGAACCAGTTGCATTAGTCTGTACATTAAAACCACAGCAATTCAGGCCACAAAAGTGAATTAGCAATAACTTGGTTGCTATTAAATAACATGCATATATACAATATTTGTTCTAAAATGATTGCAAATTATGCTTACCTGTCTGTTGCATTTGAAAGCAGCTGAAAACAGTTGATTCCAAGATCATCACTCTTGGGGACCAGGATGTGGGCGGTACTTAATTATATATGCAAAGTGTGTGTGGAAACCAATGTGTCTTACCAGTCATTACCACCAGAGGTGCCAATGAGCAACCACAACACACACATTAAACATCACTTACGAGCCTTCTCTAAAACTTTGCCCAGCACCTTCTAAACAGCTCCCCCATTCATCTAAATGGTTTTCCTTATGGGGACCTGGTTTTTGGTCCTCCTAAGGAAATGGGTCCCCATGGCGTGACTGTGTTAACAGATTTCAGTCCCCACAACGTGATGATTACAAGAACACACACACGTACCTGTGGCCCACACACACACAGACACACACGTACCTGTGGCCCACATCATTCAGACACACAGACACACAAGTACCTGTGGCCCACACCATGCAGACACACAGACACACACACACGTACCTGTGGCCCACACACACACACACACGTGCCTGTGGCCTCCACCATGCAGACACATAGACACACACGCTAACACACACGTACCTGTGGCCCACACACACACAGACACACACAGACACACACACTCACACACATACACACATATACACACACACACACAGACACACACACGTACCTGTGGCCTCCACCATGCCCTCCAGGATCACCACCACCTCCAGCTCCTCCTTGAGGAGGTGCGCAGGGGACACCTCCCAGAAGGGGCTGTTCTGGTCGATCTCGTGGCAGATGATGAGAGGAGAGACCAGGAAGAGGCGGTCGTCTCCGCTGCTATAGCCCACGTTGATGTCGGTCTGGTTCAGAGGGATGAACTCTCCCTCCTTGGTCTGCTTGGACTGGATCAGTTTGGCCCTGATGGAGGCCTCCACGATGTGGGAGTTGCGGAGGTCTCCCACTCGGAACATGAGGCACAGGCGGCTGTCCCTCATGGAGATGACGGCGTTGGTGGAAAACACCAGAGTCTCGGCTCGTTTCTTCGGCTGCGAGATCTTGACGAACATGCAGCCGACCATGAAGGCGTTGACGATGGAGCCCAGCACGGACTGCACCAGCAACAGCAGGATTCCCTCCGGACACTTGTCGGTGATGACCCTGTAGCCATAGCCGATGGTGGTTTCTGTTTCGATGGAGAAGAGGAACGCCGACACGAAACCGTTGAGGTTATTGACACAGGGGGTCCACTGATTGTCCGCCACGTCCCCCAGATGGTCCAGGTCTCCTCGCAGGTACGCGATGAGCCACCACATGAGGCCGAAGAAGAGCCAGGTCACGGTGTAGACCAGAACAAAGATGAAGAGGTTGAACCTCCACTTGAGGTCCACCAGCGTGGTGAAGATGTCCGTCAGGTAGCGGTACGTCTCGCGCACGTTCCCGTGGTGCACATTGCACTTTCCATCCTTCTGGACGTAGCGCTGGATCTTCTTGGTTCGGTCCACCTTGGCTCGGTCCATCTTGGCTCGGTCCATCTTGGCTCGGTCCATCTTGGCTCGGTCCATCTTGGCTTGGTCCATCTTGGCTTGGTCCATCTTGGCTCGGTCCAACTGGGCTCGGTCCACCTGGGTTCGGTCCACCTGGGCTCGGTCCACCTGGGCTTGGTCCGCCTGGGCCTGTGGGAGGATGGCGGGGGTCTCCACATCCTGCTCCATCAGCTTCACCTTTAACCCTGAACACACAAACAGCTTTTAGTCTGGAATCTATCTTTGTATTCTCTCATCTCTGGACCATAGACTGTATATATTAACAGACAGAGTCACGCCTATCTCCGCCGTTCTAACTAATGGGCCAAAAAATGTGCTCTACTGGAGCAATCCAAAATGGCCGCGAGTGGTCCCGCCCACAAGAAAATGGTGAAAAAACCATGGATCTATTATATTAACTGGATAGGGTATTACTAGCTTGTAGCTGAATAACTCATGTGCTCGGGGGATTCTCGCGGTACTGCAGACTGAACCAGACTAAATTCATGTGGGCTACCCAGAAATTTTCCCCATAGAACTCAATGTAAATTAAAACAGCTCAACCTCAGCTGACAGAGAACCTACAGCTTTCATAAAGGTCGGATTTTGTGGGGATTTTAGTGTCCCTTGTCATCCTGAACTTTTTTTCTTCTTAAATCCTTCAGTTTTGTTTAAATCCACACTTTAGTGCCACAAACTCTGCTCCTCTGGCTCTCGCTCTAACTCCCGCTCTGATGAACTGTTCTGATTGGTCAGAGCGCGGCCGAGCCCCTCTGTGCACGTGCGTGAGACCCGGTGTGAGACCCTCACAAGCGTGTTTGACGCAACGCATTGTGGGAGATCATCCACTGCGCAGAACCGGGAGGACCAGACGATGCCCAAATACAGGCAAGTTTCCCATAGATCTTTGCGAGTTCCAGGCGACTTCTGCTAATCTTTCAGCCCCCATGCCGTCACAAAGCGCCACTGAGCACAACCATTCATTTGAATAGGGCGCCATCTTGGATCGCCGGGGCTTGGAAAAAACGCATCTGCGCATGCGTCAGCCGGCGCAGCTCCATTCATTTGAACGAGAGACTTCAAAAATTCACAGCAAGAGTGGACCAAAAAAATTCACCCCCCTCAGCATTGACACACATGTGGAACGGAGCTTTGGGCCAAGAGCCAACTTTTGGTCCATCCTGTAAAGACGTTTTTGAGAGGTCTGCCAATGCTATATGTTAGCATTGGCTAATTTTTATTCCGGGTCCACCGCCATCGGCCCGGGGTGGTATTGCAAGCATGTCAGCGCACGTCATTTTGGCCACTTTTGAGCTGGGACCCGCCCCCACTGCTCTGGACCCATGAGGGGAAAGGGAGGGGGGTGAGGGGGGGTGAGGGAGTGGGGGAGAAGCGTGTCTCTGTAACAGTCACGACTGTCAGCAAAATTCAAAAACGTCTTCAACAGAGGTCAGGACTTAAACATATATATATATATATATATATATATATATACACATACACACAGACACATAGACACACAGACACACACACACACACACACAGAAAGACACACACAGACACACACACACACACTCAGTGGACCCACGTCTATAACATGTTTATGTGAATAAGTGGCGGGTCATACAGCCACGTGGCCTTGGTCCTCATTCTACAGTCTGAGTCCATGTGGATAAAGCAACACCTCCCACAGGACTGACGAGGAGCTGAGGACCTCCTTCAGTGGAAGAAGGAGCCTTTATCCCCACCGCTGTCAGACTGTACAATAAGTCACTGTAAGTCACTAATGCACTAGGACTGAAGAACCTGCTGCTGTTGCCACTTTTTATTGAACATAATTATGTCCTGCACAGACTTTATTTGACTTTAACATGTTTCACACTTCTGTCTTTACACAGAGAGATTCTGAGATCATAAAATATCTCCTCTTCTCTCCTCGAGGTTTCTCACTTTTCCCCCTCTGGGTTTTTCCCCTGATGCTGGGTCTGTTGGACAGATATAGACAGATAGAGACAGTTGTGTCTAACTGTGATGATCCAGGACATTTATGGACCGTGTCTCTGCTCCTCGTGGTCTCTGCTCCTCATGGTCTCTGCTCCTCATGGTCTCTGCTCCTCATGGTCTCTGCTCCTCGTGGTCTCTGCTCCTCATGGTCTCTGCTCCTCATGGTCTCTGCTCCTCATGGACCGATGACTGTGTTTTAATCGTTGCATTTCTGATGTTGATCTGTTGATTTTCACATCTGTGTCGGAGAGTTCACAGTTTTGTGAAGTCCTGACTGTTGTGATTGAGAGAACAGAATAGACAGATAATGGAGCAGGAGGAGGTGCTGTGGTCTCCATGGTGATCAGACTCTTCACAGCTCACTCCACAGGACCAGTGATGACGTCATACCAGTCTGTATCTGACCTCACATCACATCTGCCACATCTGCCCTGACCACAGACCCCTGACCGCTGCACGCGCACTGGCCCTAAATCCACAGGTTGTCATGGAAACACAGGCCCGAGCTCAGCCGGAGCCTGAGGCCTGTGTGCGGGATCCACAGAGCAGCGGGGCCCGGAGAGGCTTATGTAAGCCCCCCTGCTCATACACACACACACGCGCGCGCGCACACACACCCAGACACACACTCAAACACGCTCATCCTCATTAGCTCCGTCAGCTTTTACCGTGATCAGCGCGGGGTGTGTCCTGCTCATGTCTCGGTCCTTCTGGTCCTCGTCCTGCGGCGGTTCTCTGGTTCCTCTGGTTCCTCTGGTTCCTCCTGTCTCCGCTACAGTCCGTGTTCCTCCATCCTGCCTCTCCTCACTAGAGCCCGAGCCTCCGCCCCTGTGCAGCGAGAATCCTGGAGAGCCAATGAGGAGGCGAGGAGGAGGCGGCGAGGAGGAGGCGGCGAGGAGGAGGCGACGAGGAGGAGGCGAGGAGCCGACAGCATCCTGCATGCGCTGCACACATGGATCTATATTATTGTAACATAGTGATTTTTGTTTTTACTTATTTACATTACATTTGGGTAATTTGATATTATTTTGGAGTGTATATTATGTCCTGATTTTACTGTTATTAATTAATATTGTTTCATTATTAGAGAGAGAGGAGAGAGAGCGCGCCCCCGTGAGCGCGTGAGACAGAGTGTAAAATAAACGGAAGAGCTGAACTGTCACCGTCCTGCCGTTTGGTTATTTTAGCTACGAGATAAGAGCACTGTTTTATTATAAATCTTAACCCGCACAGCCACAGCCTCAACAACTGAAGAGCAGCGAGAACTAAGGGTTACATCATCATAGTTCTACATCATCATAGTTCTACATCATCATAGTTCTATATCGTCATAGTTCTATATCATAGTTCTACATCATCATAGTTCTATCATTTCAGAGGCTCTTCACAGTCTGTGGTAAAGTGGTCCAAAGTGGACCACCTTTATATGGTTACTTCCGGTTAAAACAAAAACAAAAAACGGTATATGGGAATCAGCAAAATGCAATTTTTAAAATTCTTTATGGACCAATATTCCACGTGCCCCAGTTTTCGTTGAATGTCCAAAGTAAAACTGAATAACTTACTGTAAAACTCCATTCCATTTTCTTCCGCTTCATCCGCCGCCGGGTCGCGGGGGCAGCAGTCTAAGCAGAGACGCCCAGACTTCCCTATCCACACACACTTCCTCCAGCTCGTCCGACCCCAAGGAGTTCCCAGGCCAGCTGAGAGACATAGTACCTTCAGCGTGTCCTGGGTCTTACCCGGGGCCTCCCGGTGGGACGTGCCCGAAACACCTCCCCAGGGAGGCTCCCTCTTCACCACAGCGGTTGGATACAGCTCTGAATGCAGACGCTGCTCCCTCTTTACCACAACGGTCCAATACAGCGACCACATCACTGCGCACGCTGCACCAATCCGCCTGTCAATCTCACGATCCATCCTTCCTTCACTGAGAACAAGACCCCGAGATACTTGAAGTCCTCCACTTCAGGAAGGACCTCTCCACCCACCTGGAGAGGACCTGGACCTGGAGAGGACCAGGACCGGGAGAGGGCAAGGCACCTTTTTCCGGTCGAGCACCATGGCCTCGGATTTGGAGCCGCTTCACACCCGGTGACAAAGGGCAGCCTTGGCGGAGGCCAACATGCACCGGGAGCAGGTCTGACTTACTGCAGGCAATGCGAACACAGCTCTGGCTCCGGCCATACAGGGACCGAACGGGCCTCAGCAGAGGACCCCGGACCCCGTACTCCCGGAGAACCCCCCAAAGGACACCCCGGGGAACACGGTTGAACGCCTTCTCCAAATCCACAAAGCACATGTGGACAGGTTGGGCGAACTCCCATGATCCTCAAGTATCCGATGGAGAGTATAGAGCTAGTCCCGTGTTCCGCGGCCGGGATGAGAACCACACTGCTCCTCCTGAATCTGAGGTTCAACCATCGATCGAAGTCTCCTCAGTAAGTAAGTTTTTAGTAAGTTTTTATTTATATACCGCCTTTTCACTGCAGATCTGAGTCTCAAAGCGGTTTACAATTGTTAATTTTGGGCATTTGTCTCTCACTCCACACAGAGATGGGAGGGGCCAGTACAGGAGGCACATGCCAGAACTATTGGACATATTTTTAGTGGTAGGGGAAACCGGAGTACCCGGAGGAAACCTACGCAGACACGGGGAGAACATGCAAACTCCACTCAGAAAGGCCCTGGTCCGACCGGGATTCGAACCCAGGACCTTCTTGCTGAGAGGCGAGAGTGCTATCCACTCAGCCACCGGTCCTCAGTGCCTTGGAGTAGACCTTACCGGGAGTGTGATCCCACGATAATTGGAACACACCCTTTTTGTAGAGAGGGACCACCACCCCGGTCTGAGAGAGACCACCCCGGTCTGAGAGGGACCACCACCCCGGTCGGCCACTCCATTAGCACCGCCCCCAAGCGCCATGCGATGTTGCAGAGACGTGTCAGAGACACTCCTACAACATCCAGAGACATTAGAGTCAGGATGGATCTCATCCACTCCTGGAGCCTTAAGGAGGCTACCAACCACCTTGGTGACCTCAGGGAGATGGAAGTATCCACCCCAACATCCTCAGCCTCTGCCTCTGACGGGGGACGTGACGGGGGGATTGAGGAGAACCTTGTGTTCCTTCCACCGCCCGACAATATCCCCAGTTGAGGTTAGCAGCTCTCCACCTGCACCATACACGGTGATGGCAAAGAACTGCTTCCCCCTCCGGAGGCGCCGGACGGTTCCTCCTGCTCCTGTTTGCTTCTCCGAGAAGTGAAGACTTTACAGTTTTCTTGGTGTCTTTGGTGCATTTCATAGGCTGCGGTCACATGCGCAGCGTAAAGCCCGGTTTAAGTGGGCCAGGGCCCGTTTAGGGATTAGATCCGGGCTTTAGATGCTTTGTGACCGCGGCTATCGAGCCTGGGCACGATTGCAGCAACCGCGCCCAGGCTTGATTAAAGACGTGGGCCTGAGCACCCTTTCCAGCGCGGATGAGGTGGGTCAGTGTGGCGGGTGGTGGGGAGTGGTGGGGACGTGATATTGTGTGTCACATTACGTCATCCTGTGACGCGCATTTTCGTATTCTCCGCTTGTGTTAAACCTTTCATAAAAGCCCCCGGACCGTGGTCGAGGGGCACAGGGGACCATGGTCGAGGGGCACTGGGGAGTGTGTGGCTGCGCTGCAAGGCCAAAGAAAAGTGTTTCCTACATAACTCTCTTCTGTTCTGACCCTCGCTATCAGTGTGGTGCTATTGCAATAACACTTCAGACATTCAAAAATCAGTCTTTATTTAATTGCCAGAACACACACACACACTTATGTCCTCCGGCTCCGGCCGCTTGTACGCCACACTTTTCTGTCTTTCATTCTCATTCATTCATTCTCAGCGCTTTACGCTTGTTACTATAAAGGCGCGTTCCCGTGTCTGCGGCGCGCCCGCACACACAGACAACACACAAGTGTCCCACCTCTGCATTATGGGGAAAGACCTCTCACACTTGTTCACATTGCTCTGATGCAAACAACGCGTTGCATGCTCAAGCCTGTTTAGCTGCAGTAGCAGAGCGTAAACAGGAAGAGAAGCGGAAACTCAACTCTGACAACGAGGTAGTCGCTGGAGTTATTCCTAGCGCCACCAGCTGGACCGGGCGCTGTACTACAGCACAGTTTCCCTGGGACGGTTCAGAGGACAAGTTCATGTGACCGCGGGCCGTTTTCACACCCCTGTGGCGACGGTCCGGACCACTTGGCCCAGTTCGCTTGTAAAAACCTATGTGACCATACCCTTAGACTTAAAGTTCTCAAAACTATGAGTCCCACCTCCGCAACACTGAGTCATGTGTGACATCATTTGTGACATCATGCGTGACATCATGTGTGACATCATGTGTGACATTGTGACAACCCCAGGGTTGCCCTTATGAAGTTTTGTTTCTGCCCCTTTTATGTACACTGTGCGCTCCAGCCATGTATATACGCCCTGTCCCGTCATAGCCTCACCTCATTGGCCCAGTGCTCGCGCTGCGGGTGGAGCGGCCCTCTTCCGCATTTTGAAAATGACAGTCGCGCTCTGACTGAGAAGGAGGCAGGAGAGACTGATCGCATGTGCTCGATAGAAGCAGAAATTCTGGAGGTCGTACAATCCCTCCGTGTTCTAAGGTTCTGTGCGCTACTAAAACGCTGGAAAGCTCCGCATGTCATTCACGGAGACGTGTAAAAACGCTCGCTCCTTTTTCTCTTCCGCCTGCTCCAACACTGAAGCCTGTGCCGGCTGGGTACGTCAGCGCACCTCCCGCGTCCTCGTAATGTGAGTGAAAAATATTAAATAAACTCTCTAATAGACACTCTATAAGCGCTCCCGTAAATATTATTCTGTTTTATGACAGTGAATATAAAAAGACTGTACCCCCTGCTCCATCAACATAGGTGCCTCAATCATACACGTGACATAGACATACACGTGACATACACGCTTATTGATGATTGATTGATTGTTGATGATATTTTTCTGTGTGTGTGTTTTATCTTCAGCTTGTGCTGTGGAGCAGCTTATGTGGGGAGCTGCCTAAGCTTGTGAACTTTGGGAGGCGAAATACTTTGTTGCACAGTAGTACTGATTTTTTGGACTGTACAAATACACTTGGGACTCTTTATTTAATTTTCTGTGTGTTTCCTCTGGTTTTTTGTCATTCACATTTTAAGACTAAGGGTTTATATTTATACATCTATATTATAAGTCCTTGTGTGACGGAGACAATAGTTCAAACTAAACCTTCAATATCCCACTTGTCAGGAGGGATACCTGGCTGGCACCCCTATAAAACCACAACCCCAAATAATAACTCTAGTACCACCACAATTCCCCAACCTACAAACCGTTACATAAAATAGTGGCACCCCAGATGGGACTTGTGAATGACAACACCACTGTGTGAAATAAAGACTGCACATAAAAATAAAAAAAATGACCACAGAAGAAACCACCAAAAAGCAACCTCCCTTCCTTCCCCTTGGGGAAGAGGCTTCATCCCCCCATGAAGTTAGACCCTGCACACGCTCCACCGCATACTCACTTCTGGATATGTCCCTAACTGGCATGGAAAATTTCCTTGTTTCATCAGTGATGGCTCCGCCTCCTCCGGGTCCTCTAGTAAAAGACAGGGCTGACTCTGAGACCCCAGCAATGGACATAAAGTCTGCCATGGCGGAGGTTACGGCAATAATTAAGAGCGAGGTGCACAATTTGAAAGCCAGTACTACTGAAAGAGTGGAGGAAATGATCAAAGAACAGGTGATAAAACAATACCAACACATGGATACCCAATTTGAATATTTACTTACCCAAACAAAAGCGTCCCTTGGCTGGAGACTGAAGCATCAACAAGCAGACCTGCTCAAGGAATTTAATTCACTCATAGCACCGCTTACGGCCAGTATTTCCCACATACAAGAAGACATTTCCCGCCTGCAGGAGGAGCTCTCAGAGTATCGAACCACCATGAAACTGGTTGCAGAGGAGTTGACCACAAAGAACCAGTCCATCCGTGGTACTCAGCAAAGCCAATCACACATTATGAGGGATGAAACTGAGAAAACTATTTTTCAGGACCTACCGGAAACAGTACTACTCTCCAGTAGACCCCGGTTAGAGTCAACCGCTCAGCCCGGGAGAACTGCTGTACAAGTAGCATCTGGATTTTCCACATTACCACTTAACCGTAGTCGAGACATTGGGAAAAGTCCAGTGAAGCTTCTGTTCCCAACATATGGACAGCGAACAGATCCTACCGACCCACTGCAGTATTTGGAGCGCTGCGAAGATTATTTGGCCCTGCATTCTCTAAGCGATGAGGAACTTATGGCGACATTACGGAATGTTTTGCATGGCACCGCTCGAGATTGGTGGGATGTAGGCCGCCACAAGATCCGGACTTGGATGCAATTCAAAGCCCAGTTTAGAGCTGCTTTTCTCTCTGAAGATTATGAGGATGAGCTAGCGGAACGAGTGCGAACCCGAGTTCAAGGAGAAAATGAAGGCATCAGAGATTTTGTCTGTATGTATCAATCCCTATGTAAACGGTGGAAACCTCAAATCATGGAAGGGGAAATTGTGAAGCTCATTCTTAAAAATATCAATCCTGCCTTGGCAAGCCAACTACGGAGCAGTCGAGTACCCACTGTGGATGAGTTAGTTCGACTAGGACAGCAGTTGGAGCGAGATCGGGACAATCAACAGCAATATGAGCACCGGAAACGGGCCAGTATGTCATCCACTCCCAGTGAAAATCGGGCTTCCAACAATTCTAATAACGTTGTGCGCCCCAAACAACCAAATTTCAATGCAAATCACAATCGTCCTCCGCAACCTCTCTGTTGGCGCTGTAAAGGTGATCACTCCCCGGGAACCTGCCCACGTGGAGCTACAAACTATCCACCTAGACCTCAGGTCCGCCTGCAACCGCCTGGTAGTCACGCCACAGGAGGCTCAGCAGCCACTCTCGGTTCTCTTACAACCGCTGGACCTTCAGGAAAATTCTGCCCCACTACAACACCTCCCTCAAGCTCCCTGCCATGCCAGTTGATGATACCCGTCAATGTAAATTCCTGGAGGAGGGCTGCCCTTTTGGACACTGGTTCCTCCTATACTCTGGTGAATGAGAGCGTGTGGAATGAGATAAGCGGAGAAGTCAAACCATGGACCAGAGGACCATTATATTTGGCCGATGGAGAAGGACGAGAACCCCTGGGTTGGAGTTCATTAACTATCACCCTGCAAACGCAGACAATCACCTTACCTTGTGTCGTTCTTCCAACAAAGAGTCTTGCCTTCCCTGCTGTGCTGGGGCTTGATTTCATATCCCTCTCTGGGCTACAGTTTGATGTTTCTGAAAAATGTTACTGGTTCAAGTTCAACCAACGACAACGGTACAATTTTATCCCAGACTCTGCAACAATGTGTGATTCCCCTCAACAGATCGCTTTTTTCTCTGCTATCCCACTTGCCCAATTATTCTCCAATTCTTCCAGTGATGAACTTCTGCAAAAAGCTGTCACCAGTGCTCATCTGGACGATTTCGGGAAACAGTCATTGTGGTCTCACCTGAAAAGTAATTCTAATGTGTGTACCTCTCGCCTAGGTTGTACCAACGTACTGACTCACAAAATATACCTGGTCAATGAAGTGCCAATCAAACAAAAACCATACCGGGTTTCACCAGCAAAACTCCAAATAATCAAGGAACATGTTAAGGAAATGATCGAAAAAGACATTATTGAACCCTCAACGTCCCCATACGCTGCTCCAGTGGTTCTAGTGCCTAAAAAACAGGACCCCAAACCTCGATTTTGTGTGGATTTCAGAAAACTTAATGCAGCTACACACACAGATGCCTATCCCCTGCCCAATATTCAAGAAATCTTAGAGTCTCTTGCTGGAGCAGTCATTGTTACCACCTTGGACTTAAACAGTGGTTACTGGCAAGTTCGTATGGACCCAAGAAGTTGGGAGAAGACTGCCTTTGTTTGTCCCTTTGGCTTGTTCCAGTTTAAGGTGATGCCGTTTGGATTGAAAAATGCCCCAGCCACCTTCCAACGGTTAATGGAGGTAGTCTTGGGAGATCTACGCGGGCAAATCTGCTTTTTATATCTGGACGATATTATCATCTACTCCACAACCTATCAACAACACAGCCATGACATACAAGCCGTTCTTGACAAATTACAAGAAGCCAACCTTACAGTTAATATGAAGAAAAGTCAGTTCTTCCGCTCCTCTCTGAAGTTTCTGGGTCATGTGGTATCTTCTGCTGGGGTTGCTGTGGACCAAGAAAAGATCAAAGCAGTTCAAGAGTTCCCTATTCCTCAGAACATCAAACAACTACAGAGGTTCCTAGGAATGGCTGGATGGTACCATCGCTTCGTGCCGGGATTCTCTGAACTCACCGAACCCCTCAACGCGCTTAAACGCAAAGGGGCCAAATATATTTGGACGCCCTCCTGTCAAACCTCGTTTCAAGCCTTAAAAGACCACTTGGTTTCCCCACCTATTCTGGGTCATCCTGACTTCACGGTGCCATTTATCGTGTATACGGATGCCAGTGATGTTGGGTTAGGGGCTGTTCTAGCTCAGCAACGTGAGTTAGGCACCGAGCAAGTTCTTGCCTTCGCCAGCCGAACTTTAAATAAAGCAGAGCGAAATTATTCCACGACAGAGCAGGAATGTCTCGCTGTTGTGTGGGCCATTGAAAAATGGAGGTACTACCTGGAAGGCCGGCCCTTCACCGTGGTGACTGATCACTCATCGCTGGTCTGGGTGTTTAAAACCCACAAACCCAGCACTCGGCTGATCCGGTGGGCTCTTCGGCTACAGGAGTTCTCTTTTACTGTGGAATATCGAAAGGGAAAGTACAACACTGTTCCTGATGCCCTCTCACGAACCCTGTGGAGGAATCCGAACATCCACTGGCAACTTGTGCTGTTGTGCTCCGATCCCAGCGGGATACTTCCCCAACACTCTCGGTGACCGATGAAAACATCTGGAAGGCTCAACAACAGGACCCTTTCGCCCAAGACCTGTATCAGCAAATTGTGGAGAAAGGAGTGGTTAAGGAGACCTCCACAGTCAAGTACACTATAATCGAAGATAAGGTGTATAGAGTTGTCGAGTTACCCCACAAAACGCTGTACCAAGTTTATATCCCTCCCTCACTTCGTCAACAATTACTCTACCACCATCACAACGACCCCCTTGCTGGACATTTTGGACGCTACAAAACGTACAAACGCCTCCAGTCCCTGGTATATTGGCCAAGAATGAGTGTTGAGGTACGCGACTATGTGAGATGTTGCCAAGTTTGTCAAAAGTTTAAACCTGAAAATCGAAAACCACCGGGAAAGTTGCAGCAAACCGAGGTGAAGAAACCCTGGGGAATGTTGGGTGTGGACTTGATGGGCCCGTTTCCCCGCAGTTCGAACGGCAACATTCACCTTCTAGTCTTTGTTGACTATTATTCGAGATGGGTAGAGATGTTTCCCCTGCGGAAGGCCACTGCCGAGACCATCGCCCAGTACTTAGTCAAAGAAATTTTAACGCGATGGGGTGTGCCGAACTACATTCTCTCGGATCAAGGTCCTCAGTTCTTATCTTCAGTGTTCGCCGAGACCTGTGAAAGATGGAATCTCACCCCAAAGCGAACTTCTGCCTATCATCCACAGACTAATCTAACCGAAAGGATCAATTGCAACATCAAAGCCATGATAGCATCCTATGTCAATGATAATCACAAGAGCTGGGACAAACACATCTCTGAATTCCGGTTTGCCCTCAACTCAGCAGTACATGAGTCCACCGGACTGACCCCCGCCGAGCTCAACGTAGGACGTCCTCTGAGAGGCCCTTGGGATTCCGAGCTTGGTCCAAATCTGTGTGACCCCGACTCTGCCTCTTATGCTACAGCCAAACAGCTTGCTGGGTTCCGAGAGTTTGTTGACGGAAACCTGCAAAATGCCAAACGGAAACAGAAACAATATTATGACAGAGGAAGACGGGAAGGAAATTTTTCCGAGAAAGATTGTGTCTGGATCCGAACTCATCCTTTATCAAAGGCTGACCAATCATTTTCAGCGAAACTTGCCCCGAGGTGGAAGGGTCCTTACCGCGTTGTCAGAAGAGTTGGCCCTGTAAATTTTGAGGTTGTTCGTGAAGACACTGGTGAGGATCTCCGGGTAGTTCACCTGGCCCAAATGAAGCCCTGTTATCCCACAGCAGAGGAGTGGGAAAGAGAGCAGCGACGCAAGGTCCTTGAAATTTTTATGGAGGAGAGTGAGGAGGAATCTTTCTTGGGTTTCGACAATTCAGAAATTGAGAAACCAGGCCCAAGCAAAGTTGTAACGAAATAGGATGGATGTTCTTGTCCAATGGGTTCTAGGAAAGAACCTGAACCCCTCACTAGTTCAGGACTTCTGAAGGGGGGGGGGAGTGTGACAACCCCAGGGTTGCCCCTATGAAGTTTTGTTTCTGCCCCTTTTATGTACACTGTGCGCTCCAGCCATGTATATACGCCCTGTCCCGTCATAGCCTCACCTCATTGGCCCAGTGCTCGCGCTGCGGGTGGAGCGGCCCTCTTCCGCATTTTGAAAATGACAGTCGCGCTCTGACTGAGAAGGAGGCAGGAGAGACTGATCGCATGTGCTCGATAGAAGCAGAAATTCTGGAGGTCGTACAATCCCTCCGTGTTCTAAGGTTCTGTGCGCTACTAAAACGCTGGAAAGCTCCGCATGTCATTCACGGAGACGCGTAAAAACGCTCGCTCCTTTTGCTCTTCCGCCTGCTCCAACACTGAAGCCTGTGCCGGCTGGGTACGTCAGCGCACCTCCCGCGTCATTGTAATGCGAGTGAAAAATATTAAATAAACTCTCTAATAGACACTCAGAAAAGCGCTCCCGTAAATATTATTCTGTTTTATGACAGTAAATATAAAAAGACTGTACCCCCTGCTCCATCAACATAGGTGCCTCAATGATAATGCTGTTTCAACCTGCAGTTGAACCTGATGAAATCTCACACAACAAAGAGACAAAGTTAATCTTTTACTTGTTACATTGTACAAGGAGAATGTCTTGACAGAGACAAGGCACAGACCCCAGCCTCTCTCAGGACCAGTCTGAAGATTCACAGATGGCAAGCCCCTTTTGGTTGAGCAAGACACACCTTCATATGCAGATGGGAAAGGAAGAAACCAACACAACAAAAGACACTTAAGACATTAGCAATAGCATCCTCAAAACCTGCTTCCTCCTGGCATCTGCATACAACCCCCAAGCACTCTGAAGTCAACAGTGGATTACAATACAGACAGTATAGAATTCAGCGACCACTGATTTAGCAAAATGATAACTAAAGTTACATTCCAATATCACTCAATCATACACGTGACATGTGAGTGTACTTTTTTTTACTGTCTTCTTACTGTAAAATGTATAGTGAATAGTGGTTGATGATATTTTTCTGTGTGTGTGTTTTATCTTCAGCTTGTGCTGTGGAGCAGCTTATGTGGGGAGCTGCCTAAGCTTGTGAACTTTGGGAGGGGAAATACTTTGTTGCACAGTAGTACTGATTTTTTGGACTGTACAAATACACTTGGGACTCTTTATTTAATTTTCTGTGTGTTTCCTCTGGTTTTTTGTCATTCACATTTTAAGACTAAGGGTTTATATTTATACATCTATATTATAAGTCCTTGTGTGACGGAGACAATAGTTCAAACTAAACCTTCAATATCCCACTTGTCAGGAGGGATACCTGGCTGGCACCCCTATAAAACCACAACCCCAAATAATAACTCTAGTACCACCACAATTCCCCAACCTACAAACCGTTACAACATCATGCGTGACGTCATGTGTGACATCATCGCAGCAGTTTCTCCTTTGAACAGATGCTTTTGTGCATGTATCAGTTACTTTCATACAATTCTCTCTGTTTTATAACATTATCATTTGCTTCTGTCCAGTCAGTCAAAATTAAACATACTTATCACTTCTGAATAGTCATTCACTATAAAACCAATAGTCCTCATTTCATCGCTTGAGTCTTCACATACAAAATTGTTGAACTAGTTCAAAACAAAAATCTAATTTCATACATTCCTTTATGTTTTTTTTCCTGAAAATCTTTCCTAAATTGAACAATTTCAACCAAAATCATACTTTTTGGCCACAATGCAAAACAATATGTTTGGCGTAAAAGCAATACAGCTCATCACCCTGAACACACCATCCCCACTGTCAAACATGGTGGTGGCAGCATCATGGTTTGGGCCTGCTTTTCTTCAGCAGGGACAGGGAAGATGGCTAAAATTGATGGGAAGATGGATGGAGCCAAATACAGGACCTTTCTGGAAGAAAACCTATTGGAGTCTGCAAAAGACCTGAGACTGGGACGGAGAATTATCTTCCAACAGGACAATGATCCAAAACATAAAGCCAAATCTACAATGGAATGGTTCACAAATAGACGTATCCAGGTGTTAGAATGGCCAAGTCAAAGTCCAGACCTGAATCCAATCGAGAATCTGTGGAAAGAGCTGAAGCCTGCTGTTCACAAACGCTCTCCATCCAACCTCACTGAGCTCGAGCTGTTTTGCAAGGAAGAATGGGCAAGAATTCCAGTCTCTCGATGTGCAAAACTGATAGAGACATACCCCAAGCGACTTGCAGCTGTAATTGCAGCAAAAGGTGGCGCTACAAAGTATTAGCGCAAGGGGGTCCGAATAATATTGCACGCCCCCCTTTTCAGTTTTTTATTTGTTAAAAAAGTTTAAATCATCCAATAAATTTCGTTTCACATCACGATTGTGTCCCACTTGTCGTCGATTCTTGACAAAAAATTAAATTTTTATATCTTTATGTTTGAAGCCTAAAATGTGGCGAAATGTTGAAAGGTTCAAGGGGGCCGAATACTTTCGCAAGGCACTGTACATAGATAAACACATACATACAAACATACACACACATACAGTACAGACCAAAAGTTTGGACACACCCATCCATCTCAAGAATTTTTTATCTTCATGACTATCAAAATTGTAGATTGACACTGAAGGCCTCAAACCTATGAATGAACTCATCTGGAATTATGTACGTACTAAAAAAGTATGAACCAAGTGAAAATATGTGTTATATCAACGGCTTATTAAACGAGCGCGAGGTCTGTACAGAGAAATATCAGACCGTGTGGGTGGCTTCACACGCACAATGACGTAAGTCTACGTTTCAAACTTTTAAATGTAAGTTCTGTATATTCCTAAATAAACACAACTCTAGCCCGACTTATTGATGTATTTAATTATCTTTTCTTTCATTGAACCTGGAAAGTCCCAGTGAGACGTCAGTGAGTCTAAGGTAAAGAATGGCTCCAGTGCAACTGTATTTGTGCCAAATGGATTCATGGTTCGGTTCGATTCATGGTGGATTAAGGGGAAGAAAATGGATGGATGGATGGATTCATGGTTCTTCTCTGGTTTCTTACCAGCAGGTCTGGTGATTGCGCGCATGCGCACAGGGATGTAAACACGGGAGCTGAGCGTTAGCATTAGCTCTAGGCTAGCCTCCATTAGCTTCCGTTAGCTCCGGGTTAGCTCCGGGTTAGCGCCCACAGAGCTATCCGGGCTGTGAGCACTAAAAACCCCACACTCCTCATTCATGGACCGAGTCAAACCCAAGCGGACCCCGGCAGACCTGTGGGGCCCCGAAGAGACAGAGGAGACAGAGGACAGAGGAATGGGGCCCCAGGTGAGGCTCCTAGAGCTGTAGCGGGGAGTGCAGAGGGTCTGACATCAGCCTCATGCTGATGGGAAAGTGTAACTAACTATAAGAGAGTGATTCCAGTTCACCTGAGGCACTGACTAGTACAAGATGCTGTTAGTTATACTTGTTTATGTCGTAAACATGTAAAACATGGTCATTAACCATGACATTTACTTTAATATTGACTCTATAAAAGACTCGGCAGTGAACGCCTCTGTTTACTGTGTACTTCATGAGAGTCAGAGGGATTTGTCTTCTCATGGGTCCTGTGTCTTCATGGTGTGAATTTTATTGGTTGTAAATAAAATACATTCATGTGTCACGTGTTATGTGTGTTGTAGTTTGTGGGGAGAGGTCAAAGAGGAGCCACACTGCACAGGTAAGACCAGTCTGAGGCTGAACACAACCAGGAACAAGTCTCCAGCACATGATGGAATGGTCAGCACGAGATCATATACGGAATCGGGACGGAAGCGGAAGTAAATATAACAAACTACCTATTCATGCCTAAACTTAACCAGCCATTTCCATAAAATAACCCCAACCCACCCTTAACCCTAACCATAACCATCTTACTCAGACACCTAAAACTTAACCAGTCACCACAAACTAATTTGAAAATAGGATTGTTACTTCCAGTTTTGTCCCGATTCCGTATATGATCTAGTGCCAACCATGATGGAATAAAGAAAGAATACACATTCAAAATAGATTTTATACAGCTCACAAGGACTACTGGCTCAAGTCCAGATGTTGTTTCCTTTGTTGTTCCACTCTGGGTCAGTGGAGCAGGAAACCCATACCTCATTTTTAACAAAAGCCACAGGCATAAGAATTATAAAGACTAATGTGCGTCCACTTGATGGGACTTGTTCTTGTCAGTTTGGCACATGTGATGGTTGGTTTGTGTGCTCTCTCACACACGTTGTGTACTCTCTCACACACTTTGTGCTCTCTCTCACACAGCAGGTAATGCATAATGAGATGAATGATTGTGGTGAACAGGAAGTTTGAGGCCTTGAATATTTATTATTTATGACTTGTCTCCAACAGGTGGTTTGGAAGAATTCAGTCCAGATCTCTCCCACATTAAAGAAGAACCAAAGGATGTGTTGATCAAAACAAGCCTTCTGCATGAGGCCGCGGTGAAGGGAGAGGAGAGCGTCCTCTACGGAGCGGGCTGGACCTCTGATAGAGTCTCTCCACAGACACATGTGAAGGAGAACAGAGACGATGGCTGCAGCTCTGACTCGGACTGGAGCTTTGAGTTCAGACCACACACAAAAACCAAAGGCAAAAGGCAGATGCAGTGTGCGGGCGGGAGCAGTGTCGGCCCCCAGAGCAGAGCGCACAGATGCTCAGAGTGTGGCAAGGACTTCCAGTTCTCCTTCCAGCTACGCAAACACAAACTGCACCACGACCTCACCTGCCCAGTGTGTGTAAAGCAGTTCAAAGACTTAGCAATTCTAAACATCCACAAGAGGCTGCACACGGGAGTGCGGCCGTTCAGATGTGCCCTGTGTCCGAAGGGCTATGTCCTCCACAGCCACCTGAAGCAGCACATGAAGACACACGCAAGGAAACCAGGCTTTGTCTGCTCTGAGTGCAGACAGACTTTCTCCACAGACCATAAACTGCAGCTACACACAGCGACACACACTGGAGAGAAGCCCTTTAAATGCAGCCTGTGTCCGAAAGCTTTCACGGTTCACGGTTTGTTAAAGCAGCACATGATGACACACACAGGAGAGAAGCCCTTTAAGTGTGAGTTCTGCTCTAAGCTCTTCAGGTCTCAGGGAGACCGGATCCGACACACTCGGACCCACACAGGGGAGAAGCCGTTCCACTGCTCCGTCTGCCTGAAGGACTTCCGAGTGCAGAGTGACTTAAAGCGCCACATGAAGACCCACTCCTTCAGCTGCTCTGTGTGCACCAGAGGCTTCACCAGAGAAGAGCAGCTCACAGAGCACCTGAAGAGCCACAGTCAGCACAGAGCTTATGTCTGCAGCTTCTGTGGGAAAGGTTATTCACACATGAGTAATCTGACCATACACCTGCGCATCCACACAGGAGAACGCCCTTTCAAGTGCTCCGTCTGCAACAGCGACTTCCCCCAGAAGAGCTCCCTCAAACGCCACATGAGCACCCACTCTGCACACCCCCCATTAAGGTGGTCCCTCCCCCAGGAGGACTTTAGGATCCAGGCCCAGACACTCTCAAAGGAGGCCCCCTGCAGGTCGGTCTGTGACACTGAAACTATCTTTACAGAAACCTTTGAGCCCTGATCTCACTCATGATGCAGTGATTCTTGATCCAGTTAGGACCATGTGGTCTTTACAGTTGGAGGAAAGTATTCGTACACTTAAATGATCAGTTTAAACAGTACAGTGGTTTATTGTGTTTCTTATTTTGTAAATGTCACTGCCAACTTCTTAGTGTCATGTTTATCAGAAACACCTCGGTGACTACCCTCTGTACTCCTCTTTGTATGTTTCCCTCTGCCACACGCAAACACAGACTGTACCCAGTTTAAACAGTTAAAACACAGTAGTTCTTCAGACGGATCCTTCTGAACGAACGCTTTCGACTCAAACACATAAAACACACCACACTGCTCTGCACACAGTCGTGTTAGTTCTGAAGTGATGATAAATGTTTTAACATTCACATGTGTTTCTTTCACAGTCTGGGTGTGTTCCCCGAGGAGGCAGGCTGCACAGGTGAGACCCAGTCCAGCTCCTGGTCCTTTATGCAGTCCAGCTCCTGGTCCTTTATGCAGTCCAGCTCCTGGTCCTTTACCCTGTCCAGGCAGACATCAGGCCCACATCAGGCCCACATCAGGCTCACATCAGGCCCACATCAGGCTCACATCAGGCCCACATCAGGCTCACATCAGGCTCACATCAGGCTCACATCAGGCAGACATCAGGCCTACATCAGGCAGATATCAGGTCCTTTACATCAGGCCTACATCAGGCAGACATCAGGCCTACATCAGGCCCACATCAGGCAGACATCAGGCCTACCCCACAGTGGGACTGGACACTAGGCTCTGATCAGACACCTGGACTGTTGTTGGACCTCTCTCAGGTCACAGATGAATCACTTATTACTGACCTGGCAGGTGCAAAGTGAATGTTCAGGATCAGACACTGCCCTCTAGTGGTGAGCAGGGGTTTGGGTTGTATTTGAAAAGTGGGATGTGATCAATAGGAAGCCTGTGTTTTATATCTTTGTGTTTTTGTGTCTCACAGAAAAGACTGGTCCAGTTTTCCACTGCTCCAGAGAAGAATCTGAGATGGTGAAAGCAGAGGTTCTCCCTGAGGTTCTCACTGAGGTTCTCACTGAGGTTCTCACTGAGGTTCTCCCTGAGGTTCTCCCTGAGGCCCAGTACATGTGTGTCACAGTGAAGGAGGAAGAGGAGTCTACTGTCCTCCCTGGACCTCTGCAGAGCACAGAGGACCAGGACGGGTCCAGGCCTGACTGCTATCACACAGAACAGTCTGAGAGAACCACTGCCCAGACTCTCACTCCCCAGACTCCTGCTGCAGGCCCCCAGACTCAGAACAGAGGGAGCAGTGCAGTCAGACTGCAGCTACACACAGCGACACACACTGGGGAGAAGCCCTTTAAATGCAGCCTGTGTCCGAAAGCTTTCACGATTCACGGTTTGTTAAAGCAGCACATGATGACACACACAGGAGAGAAGCCCTTTAAGTGTGAGTTTTGCTCTAAGCTCTTCAGGTCTCAGGGAGATCTGAACAAACACACTCGGACCCACACAGGGGAGAAGCCGTTCCACTGCTCCGTCTGCCTGAAGGACTTCCGAGTGCAGAGTGACTTAAAGCGCCACATGAAGACCCACTCCTTCAGCTGCTCCGTGTGCACCAGAGGCTTCACCAGAGAAGAGCAGCTCACAGAGCACCTGAAGAGCCACAGTCAGCACAGAGCTTATGTCTGCAGCTTCTGTGGGAAAGGTTATTCACACATGAGTAATCTGACCATACACCTGCGCATCCACACAGGAGAACGCCCTTTCAAGTGCTCCGTCTGCAACAGCGACTTCCCCCAGAAGAGCTCCCTCAAACGCCACATGAGCACCCACTCTGCACATCCCCCATTCAGGTGGTCCCTCCCGCAGGAGGACTTTAGGATTCAGGCCCAGACACTCTCAAAGGAGGCCCCCTGCAGGTCGGTCTGTGACACTGAGGAGCTGAGGATCTATGACGACAGATCATTATAATATTTATAATATATTCAACAGTCCTTCCAAGGACAGACACCTTTAGCCAAAGTAGCAAAATGTCTCCATGAGCCTCTGAATCTTGGACACTTTCTATACAGTGACCTGGCTTCACACAAGTTTTTGGTACATGTGTCTTGCATCTTTTTCTTAATATATTAAATATTTATTCTGTAATTGAGTCTTTTATCTCCGAGATCCTTTTATCCGTCGACTCTGGTGCCTAAAGAGTTAATTTATGATGATGCACAGGACCAGGACTTGAAAGACTCCAAATAAAGCTCTTTTCATAAACCGTGGAAACTGGAAGTTTACATCCACCTATTGTCTCACACTCGCATCATTAACCCTGTGGACCCACCACCTGCAGAGGGATCCATAGGCCCATGGGGGAGGGGCCTGAGCTCATGGGGGAGGAGCCTCAGCTCCAGTTGGACACACACCAATGCACCAGGACCTGGTGATGGAGGTCGATGATCGACTTGTGTCATCTGACCTTTGGTCGCATCTCTCAGACACTCGGGTGAAGAAAGGGGTGGAGCTATCAACCGATCACCTGAAGGAGCCCTATCGAGCCATGATGGTTTGGGGGACTCCCGAGGCAGCTGTCCAGTACCGGCAGGCCAAGCGTGCCGCTGCCCGGGCTGTTGCAGAGGCAAAAACCCAGGACTGGGAGGAGTTCGGAGAGTCCATGGAGCAGGACTATCAGTCAGCCTCAAAGAGATTCTGGCAAACCGTCCGGCGCCTCAGGAGGGGGAAGCAGTTCTTTACCAACACAGTCTACGTTGCGGGTGGAGAGCTGCTGACCTCGACTGGGGATATTGTTGGATGGTGGAAGGAATACTTCGAGGTTCTCTTCAATCCCCCCGTCACGGTCTCCATCTCCGGGGCGGTGCTAATGGAGTGGGAGACCGGGGTGGTCCCTCTCAGACCAGGGTGGTGGTCCCTCTCTACAAAAAGGGGGATCGGAAGGTCTATTCCAAGGTACTAGAGAGGAGACTTCGACCAATGGTGTTCCCTAGGGTGTCCTTTGGGGGGTTCCCCGGGAGTACGGGGTCTGGGGTCCTCTGTTGAGGCCTGTCCAGTCCCTGTATGACCGGAGCCAGAGCTGTGCTAGCATCAGCATAAGTCAGACCTGTTCCCGGTGCATGTTGTCCTCCGCCATTCCTGTCCTTTGTCACTGGTTCTGTTCACTGTCTTTATGGACAGAATTTCAGGAGCCGTAGGGGGTTCGGTTCAGAGACCACAGCCAGGGGCCGTAGGGGTCCAGTTCAGAGACCACAGCCAGAGGCCGAAGGGGTCCGGTTCAGAGACCAGAGCCAGGGGCCGGAGGGGGTCCGGTTCAGAGACCACAGAATTTCATCTCTGCTGTTTGCGGACGATGTTGTCCTGTTGGCTCCAACGAACCAGGACCTACAACATGTTCTGGGACGGTTTGCAGCCGAGTGTGAAGTGGCTGGGATGAGAATCAGCACCTCCAAATCTGAGGCCATGGTGCTCGACTGGAAAAAGGTGCTTTTCCCTCTCCAGGTCCTGGTCCTCTCCAGGTGGAGAGGTCCTTCCTGAAGTGTAGGAGTTCAAGTATCTCGGGGTCTTGTTCTTGGTGGGGGAAGGATGGAGCTTGAGTTTGAAGGCAGATCGTGCATTTCATGGAGAAAAGTCCACATGATGTAAGTCCTGTGTAAAGTTCAGGTGAATCTGTAGGTGGTCGGTGTGTCCATAAATTGAGAATACATTTAAAGGAGCAGTTTGTAAAAATCTGGCCAAAAGGGGTACTGGACTCTCCCTGACTCAGGGTGCCAGCTGGGAATCCATAACAACTGGCCTCCAGCTGGGATCATAACAGCTGAATAGACAGGAGTTTTGTCAACAACAAATCTATAACCAAAACCTTTTTCACAAAGATAGAAATCCTGGTTTTATTCCTTGTTTTGTCGTTAATGATTTGAGAATCATGACAAGACCTCTTTTAGTTCTGCGCCACATGGTACTTTACCAGTGAGATTAGCTCCACGCGGTGAGTTCTGGCGCCCGGATCACGGACTTTCTGATTGGTGAAACGGTGGAGGGCAGGACATTAAAATGAAAACAATAACAAGATTTAGGGGCTGGAAAAGTAATTTAGAAATTCAAATATTTCTGAACTACTGTTATCAGTTAAAGAAGTATTGAGGACAGATTAGGGCCCTTTAATGATGAATTGACATAACGCTCTTACATATTGCTACTTTAAGACATGTACCATTTACAGTTATTGCTCAGTGCGTGTGTGCCCATGCTGAGATTCATACATTACATGATACTAGATTATTCTGATTTCTGTGTAAATCAGCCAGTGAACCACTGCTTGTAACAACACGGTACACACAAGATGGCCGCCATAGATCCTCCAGGCCCAGCTCCATCTAGCGCTGACATATGTCTGCACAGGACCAGGCTCAGATGCGCCCCTGCCTCCCTCCTCTCCCCCGGCCTGTGTCTCTCCTCTGCAGCCCTTACCACGGGCCGTCCCGGGCCGCTGCGGCCGCTGTCTTTATGCAGCACAATGGCTCGGCTTCTCCCGGTCCCTCTCTGTCCTTCATGCCCATCGCCAGCACCAGCACTCGGGTGAGGCGCTTCATCCAGGAGCGGAGGGCCCAGCTGCCTCTGCCTCTGCCCCGCGTCATGGTGGTGTTCTCCGCTGCAGGAGGAGACAGCAGCGGGGACCGGGCGGAGGGAGGCATCATCCCGGACCTACCGAGCACCAGCGCGAACCCCGGGCCTCTCCCCGGGACTCTCCCTGGACCTCTCCCTGGACCTCTCTCCGGGACTCTCCCCGGGACTCTCTCCGAGCCTCTCTCCGGACCTCTCTCCGGACCTCTCCCTGGACCTCTCCCCGGGACTCTCTCCGGGACTCTCCCCAGGAATCTGAGCTCAGTGGGCGAGCAGGAGCAGGAGGTAGGTCGGGTACATGACGGCCCACTTAGGGCGTGTTGGTCTGTGGGTCATGTGTGTCCTGGGACTTGCTTCTCCACAGACCTGGCTCCTGTAGCTGCGACTATGGTCTTGCATTGTTAGAGAATACTGTCACTACATTTGCATAGCGTTATATTGCACCGTAACTGATCAAACCACAAGGATAACACACAAAAATATTAACTGTTATTTATGATTGTCTGACTGTTTTAAACTCAGGATGTTTCTATCACTGCCTCATTCCCACTGAGCACTAAAAGATGAACTTCTACAAAGCATTCTTTAGATTTTGATGTGATCTAGTGACAGAAATGAAAGAATGAGATGCTCTGCAGGCTCCTCTCAGACGTGCAGATCCAGTTAGCCATCAGATTTTCTTTCTTCCATATTTAGGGCAAATATTCCTCCATAAGTGTATTCTTCCAGTGCGATTGAAGTATTTTGGTGTTTTCATATCTCCACGGATACAGTCTTTACAACAATGAATATTCAGATTTAATTCAAATGTTTCCTGAACGTTCACACAGTAACAGACTGAGCTCCAGCAACTTCCCATCTAATCTGTCACGCTTCACAGTCCCTGCTGAAGAAAAGCAGCCCCATAACATGATGCTGCCACCCCCATATTTGATGGTGGGGACGGTGCACTGAGGGAGATAATGATAATTTAATTTGTATCGCCCTAAATCACAACAGCAGTTATCTCAGACCACTTTACAAAGTTGACAATTTGCCAACACAGATCAAAGAATCAAACAGTTCAAACACATAGAGGTGGAAGACCAATGTCCATAAATAAGAAATGTTTAGACTAATTGCATTTGAACCCAGGACCTTCTTCCACATCTTCTTCCTGCTCAGAACAATATGAATTCTTGTGGAGGCCCAACTTTTCTGAATTTATAATAATAACAGAATCGTGTATCAATCATTTTGCTTTCACTTTACTGTCTGTTGTTAGTGTTTGAAATTTCAGTAAACGTGTGAAGCACCTCAGAGACCGTAGAGCAGGGGTGGGCCATTATTGTCTTCAGTGGGCCATTATTGTCTTCTGTGGGTCACATTGCTATCTATTATGGCACAAAGTTACTTCAGTATTTTAATGTCAAACAGACTTGAAGATATCCAGTGTTTTCTCAGTGTTTCTGGAGAGCAGATTATTACTAATATCATTTTGGGTTCATTAATTAGAACAGAATAAATGTATAATAAACTTTAGGAGGACGTATTAAAACACAAGGCTTCATTTGGGATTGACTCCTGATTCATGTCATTAAACAATAGACAGCGGTGAGGTGGGTCGGGTCCATGGGCCGCGTAGAACTGTGAATCGGGCCGGATGTAGCCCCCGAGCCGCACTTTGCCCAGCTCTGTTCTAGAGTGTAATCCTGGACCAGGGATAATCCTCTTAGAGTCTGAGGCCGTGGTCATCTGTGGTCCTCAGCAGCAGACTCCACAGACGCTCTCTGAAAAAAAGATGCTGTGTCACAGACGAGACGTTTTATTGTTGGTAAAAGTTTAATCCAGAAGAATCTCTCCTCTCCTCCTGACCCTGATCCAGACCCTGATCCAGACCCTGATCTAGACCTAGACCCTGACTCTGAACATCAGAGAGATAAAAAAAAACATCCTAACTCTTCAAAAACGTATACTTCCGAATGCAATGTCCCTCTTCTGCCTCTAGGTGTCAGTGTCAGGCAGTGTTACTTACTCAATGTTCTCCATAGTTCTCAATTTTAAGCAAAGTTCTGTGTGTGTCAGTTTTTTGTGTGTGTCTCTGGCTTGTGTGTGTGTCTCTGACTGTGTGTGTGTCAGTTCCCAGAGATCCTGTCCCTGAATGTGGGCGGAACTTACTTCACCACGCGCCTCTCCACGCTGCAGCGTTACGACGACACCATGTTAGCCGCCATGTTCAGCGGCCGCTACCACATCCCGCAGGACTCAGACGGACGCTACTTCATCGACCGCGACGGAAGCTACTTTGGGTCAGTACCTTCAGATCTTAGGAGAACGCAGGTGTTTTCTTTCCACACCACCGTACTCATTTCATTTCATACTAAGGTCTGGATTTGATCCATTGACTCCGTTAACAGGTGGGAGGGGTTAACTCCTTTTGCAGATTGAAACGATTGGATCTGAGTTCACTGTGACGTATGTAATGCACCCGAGTGAGTCGTTAGCCATCTCCTTTGCCGCTAGCTGAGCCGTGGGGAGTAGAGCCACAACATCTTTGCAGAACAGATTATTTTACTTTTCAGCACAAACTCTTGACGTCACACCGACCTACAACACCCGCCTCCCCCGCTCTCTGATTGGTCGGAGGGGATTCTACCGAGTAAACTGCAGCCACTAGGATCAGACCCAGACGTACATGTACGAAATGATCATGGACCAGACTTTATCGATCATGTCCTTCACAATCCAGTCAGCCTCCACTGTGTCTCCCATTAACGTATCTAGCAGCTCCCTGCCACTTTCTCCGACTAGATAACTGAAGAGCTTCACTCGCCTTTTCTCGTCATCTTCGGCAACAGTTAAATCAACATAAAGTTGAAACTCGTCCCTCCATGTCTTCCATGTTTTAGACAGGTTATTGGAGTCCAGACACAACGTCTGTGGAGCTTTTAGTCCGTCCATCCTATTAGCTTGTCTTGCGATGCTAATCAATGCTCGACGGTTAGTACTTTACCGTCTTCTCTAGTGACTCCGCAGCAATTTCCAAAAACGTCTCAAAAAATCCGGGCAAAGTTCATTACCGCTGCCACCATGTTAAAGTGTGGGTTTGTAACAATAAAACAAGTCTAGTTTCTTTGCTCTGGCCCAACTGGGTCGGCATTTATTGAAGTGCCCCATTCAAGTGAGCAGTCCTTGTAGTCCAAACTCCGGTTTGGGACTGCCCCCTCGTGGCGTATAACATATATGCAGTATAAACAATATACCATATTGTAACAGGTACGACCCAGATGAACATGTAGGAAATGATCATGGACCAGAGTTTACACATGGTAAGACTCGGATAGAGTCGTACGCTGAGTTCAAACAATCAACAGACGAATTCACTTTAACCATGTGTTCATTAGAGACTGTTGTTCCCAGGGACGTTCTGAACTTCCTTCGAGAGGGCGAGCTGCCGCCTCAGGAGCGAGTGCGGGCCGTGTACCGAGAGGCTCAGTACTATTCCATTGGACCTCTCCTGGAGCACCTGGAGGATATCCAGCCTCTGACCGGAGAGAAGGTCCGGCAGGCTTTCCTCGACCTCATGCCCTACTACAGAGGTAACTGTCATCAGTCTGAACATGTACCTGTGCTTATGAATGTGTCTGTACATATCCCTGTGCTTATGAATGTGTCTGTACATATCCCTGTGCTTATGAATGTGTCTGTACATATCCCTGTGCTTATGAATGTGCCTGTACATCTACCTGTGCTTAAGAATATGTCTGTACATGTACCTGTGCTTATGAATGTGCCTGTACATCTACCTGTGCTTAAGAATGTGTCTGTACATGTACCTGTGCTTATGAATGTGTCTGTACATATCCCTGTGCTTATGAATGTGTCTGTACATGTACCTGTGCTTATGAATGTGCCTGTACATCTACCTGTGCTTAAGAATATGTCTGTACATGTACCTGTGCTTATGAATGTGCCTGTACATGTACCTGTGCTTATGAATGTGTCTGTACATCTACCTGTGCTTAAGAATGTGCCTGTACATGTACCTGTGCTTATGAATGTGTCTGTACATCTACCTGTGCTTATGAATGTGTCTGTACATGTACCTGTGCTTATGAATGTGCCTGTACATCTACCTGTGCTTATGAATGTGCCTGTACATGTACCTGTGCTTATGAATGTGTCTGTACATCTACCTGTGCTTAAGAATGTGTCTGTACATGTACCTGTGCTCATGAATGTGTCTGTACATGTACCTGTGCTCATGAATGTGTCTGTACATGTGCTCATGAATGCTTGTTGCTGTGCTCATGCTTTTCCCTGTCCTTATGAATGCTTGTCCTTGTGCTCATGCTTGCTTGTCCCTGTGCTCATGCTTGATTGTCCCTGTGCTCATGCCTGTCCCTGTGCTCAGAGAACCTGGAGCGTATCATGGAGATAGCGAAGCTGAGGGCGATGCAGAAGAAGGCGCGGTTTGCGAAGCTGAAGGTGTGTGTGTATAAGGAGGAGATGCCCATCACGCCGTACGAGAGGCCGCTGCTCCACTCTCTGAGGCTGGAGCAGAGTGACAACAAACTGTTCTCGCACCAGTGTGAGGTGGACGTGTCGTTCGGACCCTGGGAGGCTGTGGCCGACGTCTACGACCTGCTGCACTGCATTGTCTCAGACTTAGGAGAGCGAGGCATCAGTGCAGAGCAGCAGTGCATCGGAGTCTGTGACAAACACCTCATCAACCACTACTACTGCAAGAGGCCCATCTACGAGTTCAAGATCACCTGGTGGTGACGGGGGGGCGGGGGACATGGAGGACCATGGACGACCATTGGGTTATCATGAGGGTATCCAGGACAGAGACTTTATATATACCTCCTACAGTCCTATGGAGGGGCAGCCCCAGTGTGAGCCGAGGGTAGACTTCATATTCTCATGTAGACAATAGTTGCATCAAACCCACCTGGTTCAGGATCAGTTCTCTCTGGTTCCTTCTGCTGTTGTGTCTGTGATGGTTTCACCAAAACTAACGTGATGTAAGTGCTGCAGCTCAGGGCCCATCAAAAAGACAGTTATTTCTGATTTACGGCCTGAGACCACGGCCCGAGGACATGGCAGAGGAGAGAGGAACTTTCTGCAGTGGAAACTTGTTTGTAATAGCTGTTTGCTCCAGGGACCATGAGTTCCGCTCCGACTTTGCACTAACCACCCCCTGACTGTTGGCCTTGTTTATGTTATAATACAGATGTTATTTATTTAATATCGTCTTGCATAAATGTTTTTACAATCAAACATTTGGTTCTGTTTCTTCCACCTTCACTCTTGCATCACATGTTATTATAGAATCACTTTATTATAGACCTGGTCTCACTTCATTAGACACCGCGTCCTCAGAAAAGTAGATCCACAGAGACTCACTGTGGGCTTTTCTACAGAATGCTTCATGTTTTTCAAGTAGAGACTGATGACATATTTGTAAGTGAGTTACTACACAGACCGAAGTAAATATTACGAGTTGAACTGATATTTACAGACTATAGTCCTGGTCTGTGTGATCACAAACATACAGATATGTGTCTTTATATATGAAGACAGGACCATAGACTGTTTACAGTGTCACCGATATTATTATAGAGTGTTCCGGTCCTGGGCATGGATCTATTATATTAACTGGATAGGGTATTACTAGCTTGTAGCTGAATAACTCACGTGCTCAGGGGATTCTCGCGGTACTGCAGACTGAACCAGACTAAATTCACGTGGGCTACCCAGAAATTTTCCCCATAGAACTCAATGCATATTAAAACAGCTCAACCTCAGCTGACAGAGAACCTACAGCTTTAATAAAGATCGGATTTTGTGGGGATTTTAGTGTCCCTTGTCATCCTGAACTTTTTTTCTTCTTAAATCCTTCGGTTTTGTTTAAATTCACACTTTAGTGCCACAAACTCTGCTCGTCTGGCTCTCGCTCTAACTCCCGCTCTGATGAACTGCTCTGATTGGTCAGAGCGCGGCCAAGCCCCTCTGTGCACGTGCGTGAGACCCGGTGTGAGACCCACACACGCGTGTTTGGCGCAACGCATTATGGGAGATCATCCACTGCGCAGAACCGGGAGGACCAGACGATGCCCAAATACAGGCGAGTTTCCCATAGATCTTTGCGAGTTTCAGGCGACTTCCGCTAATCTTTCAGCCCCCATGCCGTCACAAAGCGCCACTGAGCACAACCATTCATTTGAATAGGGCGCCATCTTGGATCGCCGGGGCTTGGTCCTGGGCCGTTCGTGGCTAACGCTAGAGGACGCACAGTGATGACGCACCGCGTGAACAGGACTTTTCGCGCTTCGCTTCAGGTAAAAACTCCTGTAATGCGATTTAAACATTTACATGACACTATAATAATATCAGATGTTGATATTTGTGGCGAATATACTATTTCTACTGCACAGTCTTGAGAAAAGTGGCTCGCAGCAAACGTTCGTTAGTTAGCATGCTAGCATCGGGGTTAGCAGAAAAGTATATTTAGCCCATTAGCTTCATGTTAGATGTTACATCATCCGCGTGGATTAAATGTAATATACTTAAATTATTATTGCTCTCATCTCTAATCTACAGATGTAAATGAGCAGTTTTGCTACAATCTGGCACATTTACAATTTGTGTACAACTTGTATATGATAAATCATTAATATGTGTCGTCCCGATCAAATAAATAAATATACTGAGAAAGTGCAATTAGATGGTTGGAACTTTGTGGTACGGTCTGTCCCTGTGTGTGACCTGTCCCTATGCTCAGGGTGTCGGTATGGAGGCCCCCCTGGACCCTCGGGCCCCCTCCTCTGGCCCCTGCTCTCTGCTCCACACGATGGCTGTGAACCTGAAGGTGAGCCACAGACTGGTGCAGCAGATCCAGAAGGACCTGGGCCGATTGGAACTGTCTGCTACAGGGGCCCGGGGTAAGAACACCCCCTCCGTGAACACCCCCCCTGTGAACACATCAAACACTGTCTGTAAGAACAAAGTTCCTGTCTCTTTTAGACTTTTGGAGACTATTAATAGTTTTAATACTGACTCCTTTTCAACAGATTAATGTTTCTGAATCAGAACAATCACAACACTATAGTGAGAGACCATAAATCCATGTTATCTTTTATTACAACAGGCCCAGACGTGAGCCCCTGGGTGGCCAAGGGCCGGAGGTCTAGCTGCCCTGTTTCTGTGGGGCCCCCTTGTGGTCCCTACAGTCTGCTCAGGAGCCTGCCTGAAGACTGTGAGTGGGCCCAGAATCTGGAGACACAGCTGAGGACAGGTGTGTTCCATCTGATGACTGAGGAGCAGCTGGACCAAGCCCTCTGCTTCCTTTGTGAGGAGCCCATAGAGGAGACTACAGAGGAGAACTCAGAGGGGCCCACTCTGTACTGCTCTGCTCTGGACCGGATTGAGGTAAAATATCAATACTAAACCACAGGTTAGACCTGTCCCTGAGCTTCCTCCGCAGAGTGACTGCTCCCTTATGGTGCTTTCAGACCGGATCATGCGTTGCGTTGGGTTTCAATGCAAAATTTATGGTGGCGCGCGTTTGACCGTCACAGCGCACGGACCTCTCGGCACGCACGAACGGACTGTTCAATAATGACGCACTGACTTGGCAGGAAAGTAAAAAGGGAGGAGCAGGAGCGAAAAATCAACGCCCACAGGAGATGGATTCTGCTCATCCTTTTCTTGGGACGTTCGTGCGACAACCAATCAGAGAGCAGTAAAGTGGTCACGGGGACATTAGCGGACTGAGCGAGCAGACTGAACATACTGTAAACAGCCAAAACAAGACCAACACCAGGCTTCACCAGAACTCAAACCAGTGTTGACAATGGGGGACTCTGTGCTTGTGAAAATATGCGTTGTCATGCTCCCGTGACCTTATGCAACGGCTTCGAGTGTGTTCACCGATGCGGAAATTCCGTTTAATAATATGAAAAAACGTATGGCGCACCTCCGTGAACACATACTACTGTTGTATAAAGCCCGTGGAATGTCTGTGAGCAAAGACACGCTGCAAAGCTGCATATTGGAGAAGATCTGTACACAAGAAGCTGCTAGCATAGCTCTGTTAGCATTGGAGCCGGCCGGCTACTTCCGGTACTTCCGGCTCGCGTCAGGACGTTCTGGTGTGAAGTCCTCTGCGTCTGAAAACTAGAGAATGCGCGTCTGGTGAGCGGGGCTTCCTCGTTTCAGCTCAGTCACACGGGAGGAGCTCAGAGTAGAGCCGCTGCTTCTCCACATGGAGAGGAACCAGAGGAAGTGGCTCAGGCATCCGCTCCGGATGCCTCCTGAACGCCTCCCTGGGGAGGTGTTCCGGGCACGTCCAACCGGGAGGAGGCCCCGGGGAAGACCCAGGACACAGAGGGACTATGTCTCTCTGGGAACACCTTTGGGTGAAGTTCTTAGACTGCTGCCCCGCGACCCGGCAACGAATGAAGCGGAAGAGAATGGATGGATGGGTGGATGGATGGATGGAAGGAAGGTTAAACCAGTCACAGCTAGAACAACCATAACGCTTTTATACGTTTTCATGCCAATCATCATCAAGTGGAGGACCATGATCCATGCAATAATGGAGGAATATTTGATCCTGGTTCAAGTTCAGAATGTTTCAAAATAGGGCTGGGATAAACGATTATTTTTTAAACGATTAATCTAGCGATTATTTTTTCAATGCATCGATTAATCTAACGATTATTTTTTTCGCTTCGATTCGATTTTGATTTGATTCGATTCTCGATTATCTCCCCATTAATTGACTAATATTGATGTATACATGTTGATTTAAATATTTTAATGAAAAAAACATGAATTCCTTCACAAAAAATATTTATTGCTTGCTCTTAAAATTCAAAAATAAGACATTCTTAGAGGTAGCATAAAACCTTGAAGCCTTGAAAACACAGCTTACTGAAAAAAGTGCATCTTATCATTCTTGAAACATACATTTGATGCTTAGCATTCAATAAAAATATGAAAAAGTTCAGCCAAATACTTGTGTAGAGCAACTAAAAGAAAACAGTAACCAATGTAAACTTGAAGGCTTTAAGCTAAACAAAGAGTGCTTTTCCAGCAAAAACAGTGGGAGCCATCAGCCTGTCATGGCGTCCTTCCTGAACCAACAGAGTTTAACATTTAAGTTGAAGACACATAGGCCTATATTACTGAAGTCCATTAATTAAAGTGCATCTCTTAAATTCTTCATTCATATAAAAATAACAGTCAAAACTCTGCCACTCACCTTTTTCTTAAACTCAAAATTCAAAAATAAAATTCAAGTAAGAGTGTACAAGAGAAAAACAAATAATAATAGCAAATAAAAAGGTCAACCAGTCATCCTTTCTTTTAGAGTTACTGAAAGAATACAGTAGAAGTCATCTCAGAGGACTTAAAACAACATTGAAGTCACCAACACAGATCAGAGAATCAATCAACAGTTAAACACATTAAGGATATTGAACACATGTTGAAAAATGTCCATATACGGCAGGCATGACAGTGAATAATACATGTAGGGGCTATTACGGGCGCCACTATTCCGTTTGATACAAAGAAAGACAGACTAGTTGTAAGCTGTAGAGTTGCCACAGGACGAGTCATCAGCCTACGTCAGCAGCCGCGGACTGCTATGAAAACATTAGCTTTGTGGTTTCACAGGCGCAGTTGACTGCTTAAACTAAACTTTGCACAAAACTTTGACTCTTAAAACCCACATGTGACAAAACGGAACCATCAACATCTCTCCTCAAATTGCATTAAAAGTGACATTCGTGTCTGAATTCGTTCGTATTTTAACTTTTAAAGAAATTCACGGTCCGCCATCTTGGTTTGCTTCGGCTGCCGTGAGACGCACATGCGCAGGTTTGCATTACATCATAAACAGCTGAGGCTGTGCATCTCTTCAAGGCAGTGTATCTCAGCGTTACACCGGCTTGCACTTCTCTAACACGGCACTCGCATTGCTACCGCTCGCCGCCATCTTTGTTTTGTGTGTGACGCACCGACGCGCATATTATACGTCGGTGTATTTTTTGCGTCACCGATTACGTCGACGCGTTGTCCCAGCCCTATTTCAAAATAATAAATGATATCATAAAGTGATTATTGAGCCTTGTACCTGGAGTGTGTTCACTGCACTCTCTGGGCCCTTCCCCCACTGCCCAGTAGCATCTGCTGAATGATGAAGTATTGTTGTTGGTTGTGGCCAACCACAGTTTATTGCTTCAGACCAAAACTAGATCAGCTGTTTTTGTTCTGTTTCACTGTAATGGACCTGTGTGTCCAGGCTCAGCTGTGTGGAGGAGCAGAAGGAGAAGACAGCGGGAGGAGCCCAGAGCACAGTGATGGAGGAGACAGCAGGAGGAGCCCAGAGCACAGTCATGGAGGAGACAGGAGGAGGAGTCCAGAGCACAGTGATGGAGGAAACAGCAGGAGGAGCCCAGAGCACAGTGATGGAGGAGACAGCAGGAGGAGCCCAGAGCACAGTGATGGAGGAAACAGCAGGAGTCCAGAGCACAGTGATGGAGGAGACAGGAGGAGGAGCACAGAGCACAGTGATGGAGGAGCAGAGGGAGGAGACAACAGTGAGGAGGACCCTACTCCCTCTGTGTAAGAGCACTGTCACAAACACACACAGGGACATGTAGGAGGAGGAGGTACATGATACCAGTCCCTGTGGACTGTGTGGTATCTGTACTAGAGGAGGAGGTGTAGGAGGCTCCTGTGAGCTCAGTGGGAGCAGCTCTGGGCTGTGAGGTCTGTCTAGAGCTGCTCCCCACTCTATTCAGAGGTCTCATTACAGAGCACTGTTTGCAAACTATGAAGGGGAAGACAAAGGTCTCTGTCCTTTGACAGAGACCTTTGTCTTTGAACCCGTGTGTCTAACAGGGAGTAGAGAAGACTCTAAGATCAGTTTCACTGTTTTAGAGAAACAGGTCTGAGAGAAGGAAACAGTCTGAACTTATTCTACTGTTTATGTTATTAGTTTAAATGCTCAACCATCAATATGACTGTGCACCATGTGTCTGTGCTCAGAGACACGGTACCATGTGTGTGCCATTTGTGTACCATGTGTCTGTGCTCAGAGACCTGCTGCAGATGGAGAGGGGTGAGCTGTCGAGCATCATGCAATCTCCTCATCATCTTCGTCTTCATCATCCTCATCTCAGACCCCAGGCCCCATGCTACAGCACCCCACGCAGCACAGGTACTACTTCCGTGCAGCACAGGTACCACCCAAAAAAAGTATGGTCCGAGGAAAGCACAAGGGTCATAACAATAGTAGTAAATCCGTTTGGTCCAGACTCAGGTCAAACACTGCAAAACACACAGCTAATTCTACAGCTCCCTCTGGTGGCAGCACAGGGAAATACATGCAGATATAGGACATTTCACATTCTAAAACGACACACACAGACACACGCACACGCACAACATGAATATTGTTGTTGTTTCAGGAGAGCCGTCAGTCTTAAGGAGCCCCTTCTCCTCCCAGAGCTTCTTCACTGCTGTGGACAGATCTGCTGAGCACAGGGACGAGGCACCCACACCCCCCCCTCTCCTGTTTGGTATGCGTGTGTATCATTGTATGTGTGTGTATAATTTGTAGTATTGGTATGTGTGTGTAGTATGTGTGTATAGTATTTGTATGTGTGTGTAGTATATGTATATGTGTGTAGTATATGTATGTGTGTGTAGTATGTGTGTGGAGTATATGTATGTGTGTGTAGTATATATATATAGTGCCTTGCGAAAGTATTCGACCCCCATGAACCTTTCAACATTTCGCCACATTTTAGGCTTCAAACATAAAGATATAAAAATTACATTTTTGTCAACAATCAACAACAAGTGGGACACAATAGTGAAGTGGAACGAAATTTATTGGATAATTTAAACTTTTTTAACAAATAAAAAACTTAAAAGTAGGGCGTGCAATATTATTCGGCCCCCTTGCGCTAATACTTTGTAGCACCACCTTTTGCTGCAATTACAGCTAACAGTCGCTTGGGGTATGTTTCTATCAGTTTTGCACATCGAGAGACTGGAATTCATGCCCATTCTTCCTTGCAAAACAGCTCAAGCTCAGTGGGGTTGGATGGAGAGCGTTTGTGAACAGCAGTCTTCAGCTCTTTCCACAGATTCTCGATTGGATTCAGGTCTGGACTTTGACTTGGCCATTCTAACACCTGGATACGTCTATTTGTGAACCATTCCATTGTAGATTTGGCTTTATGTTTTGGATCATTGTCCTGTTGGAAGATAAATCTCCGTCCCAGTCTCAGGTCTTTTGCAGACTCCAACAGGTTTTCTTCCAGAATGGTCCTGTATTTGGCTCCATCCATCTTCCCATCAATTTTAGCCATCTTCCCTGTCCCTGCTGAAGAAAAGCAGGCCCAAACCATGATGCTGCCACCACCATGTTTGACAGTGGGGATGGTGTGTTCAGGGTGATGAGCTGTGTTGCTTTTACACCAAACATATCGTTTTGCATTGTGGCCAAAAAGTTCGATTTTGGTTTCATCTGACCAGAGCACCTTCTTCCACATGTTTGGTGTGTCTCCCAGGTGGCTTGTGGCAAACTTTAAACGAGACTTTTTATGGATATCTTTGAGAAATGGCTTTTTTCTTGCCACTCTTCCTTCAGGGGCCAGATTTGTGCAGTGCACGACTGATTGTTGTCCTATGGACAGACTCTCCCACCTCAGCTGTAGTTATCTGCAGTTCATCCAGAGTGATCATGGGCCTCTTGGCTGCATCTCTGATCAGTCTTCTCCTTGTTTGAGATGAAAGTTTTGAGGGACGGCCGGGTCTTGGTAGATTTGCAGTGGTCTGATACTCCTTCCATTTCAATATAATTGCTTACACGGTGCTCCTTGAGATGTTTAAAGCTTGGGAAATCTTTTTGTATCCAAATCCGGCTTTAAACTTCTCCACAACAGTATCTCGGACCTGCCTGGTGTGTTCCTTTGTCTTCATGGTTCTATCTGCGCTTTAAACAGAACCCTGAGACTATCAAAGAGCAGGTGCATTTATACGGAGACTTGATTACACACAGGTGCATTCTATTTATCATCATCAGTCATTTAGGACAACATTGGATCATTCAAAGATCCTCACTGAACTTCTGGAGTGAGTTTGCTGCACTGAAAGTAAAGGGGCCGAATAATATTGCACGCCCCACTTTTCAGTTTTTTATTTGTTACATTTTTTTAAATTATCCAATGAATTTTGTTCCACTTCACGATTGTGTCCCACTTGTTGTTGATTCATGACAAAAAATTTAATTTTTATATCTTTATGTTTGAAGCCTGAAATGTTGGCAAAATGTTGAAAAGAATACTTTCGCAAGGCGCTGTATGTGTGTAGTATATGTATGTGTGTGTGGTACATGTATGTGTGTCGTGTGTGTAGTACCTGTACACACACTCCCAAAACAAACAAACACTGACATGAGTCTGGTTGTTTTCCTGCTCATGTAAAGCCAGCGAAGGAAGAACTGAGACCCAGGAGGAGGCCCAGGAGGAGGCTGAAGAGGAGGCCCAGGAGGAGGCTGAATTGGAGGACCAGGAGGAGGCTGAATTGGAGGACCAGGAGGAGGCTGAAGAGGAGGCCCAAGGGGAGGCTGAAGGAGAGAGGGGTACAGAAGAGGAGGCTGAAGGAGAAGAGAGTGAGGGAGAAGAGGTTGAAGGAGGTGCTGAAGCAGAGGACGCATCAGGAGAAGACTCACCAGCTCCATGTGAAGAAGACACAGACACCATAAAGCCAGGACCAGGTGGAGCTGAGACCAGAGGCTTAGGAGACAGCTCCACCTCCTCCCCTTCTCTTGGACACAGATCACATGGTAACTATCCTTCTGGACACAGACCACATGGTTCATCTATCTCCACAGACGCACGCACACACTTTCTCTCTCCCATAGTCTCTTTGTGTTTCAGGGAGGTCTCTCTCTCTGCTCCTCTCCGACAGCCACAGGTAATAGCGGTGGTGACTGTAGTGACTGTAGTAACTGTAGTAACCATGATAGTGACCATAGTAGTGACCATAATAGTGACCATGTGTAGTAACCATGATAGTGACCATGTGTAGTAACCATGATAGTGACCATGTGTAGTAACCATGATAGTGACCATGTGTAGTGACCATAGTAGTGACCATAATGGTGACCATGTGTAGTGACCATGTGTAGTAACTATGTGTAGTGACCATGATAGTGACCATGATAGTGACCATCCTCTCTTCTCTCAGAGCTCACTCGACTCTGGACCACATTCTGCAGGATCTCCAGGACTGAGCTGTCAATCACCTGCCGTCGTCATAGTAACCAAAACACACCATGTTTTTGTGCTCGTTTCAAAGTCACGTTTAGTCTGTGTTCATTTTTCAAACTACTTTTTACTTCATTAGCATTTAACTGTTAAAAATGTTTTACTTAATGAAGCTCTTTGAAAACTGAACCCGTCTCTTGTATCACAGGGACTGAAGGCAGGACACAGACCAGGGTATCTCAAGGACTGAAGGCAGGACATAGACCAGGGTATCACAAGGACTGAAGGCAGGACATAGACCAGGGTATCACAAGGACTGAAGGCAGGACACAGACCAGGGTATCACAGGGACTGAAGGCAGGACATAGACCAGGGTATCACAGGGACTGAAGGCAGGACATAGACCAGGGTATCACAGGGACTGAAGGCAGGATGCAGACCAGGGTATCACAGGGACTGAAGGCCGGATGCAGACCAGGGTATCACAGGGACTGAAGGCAGGATGCAGACCAGGGTATCACAGGGACTGAAGGCCGGATGCAGACCAGAGTATCACAGGGACTGAAGGCAGGATGCAGACCAGGGTATCACAGGGACTTTTCCCATAATACAGTGAGACATACAATGAGAGTAGCTACTGAAACAGAATCACATCAAATGATCAACATTGAAGACTTTATCTTTTAATGGCAACATTTAACAACAAACTGCATCAAGGGAACACAAACTCCCGTATGAGATTATCACAGATTATAAACACAAAGGAAGTCTCTAAAGTCCAGCGCGCTCAGCACATCCTCCATTTGGAAAAGTCTGAGTTCAAAGACTCATGATGAGTGCCCAGGAACGGGGGCCTCCAACGCCTCCTGCAGGAGAACACCACATGAGGTCAAGAGGAGGCGCACAGAAGCTGCAGGAGGTCTGTGCTCCTCCTGATGATGTGAATGATGTCACATGATCTGTGCCTCAGACTCCAGTCTGTAAATGTGTTTGAAAGACACTGATCCTCAGGGACAGTGGGGAGTTACCTTGATGGCAGCCGTCTCCCGCAGCACCCGGAGCATCTCTTGTGCCTCCTCCACGTTGGTCCTGATGGAGTCCATGGACTGAGTGTAGACAGAGGTCAGCTCCTGCAGCTCACTGCTCAGAGTATCATTCCGAGCTTTGATGGCCCTCAGGGACTCCAGCAGGGCCACAGGGTTCTGTGGACACAAAATATACAGGGTTTATACAGGGACTGCAGCAGGGCCACAGGGTCCTGTGGACACAGAATATACAGAGTACAGTGGGGAAAAAAAGTATTTAGTCAGCCACCGACTGTGCAAGTTCTCCCACTTAAAATAATGACAGAGGTCTGTAACTTTCATCATAGGTACACTTCGACTGTGAGAGACAGAATGTGAACAAAAAATCCAGGAATTCACATTGTAGGATTTTTGAATAATTTATTTGTAAATTATCGTGGAAAATAAGTATTTGGTCAATAACAAAAATTCAACACAATACTTTGTAATATAACCTTTGTTGGCAATAACAGGTCAAACGATTACTATACTGTAGGTCTTGACCAGGTTTGCACACACAGTAGCTGGTAATTTGGCCCATTCCTCCATGCAAATCTTCTTGAGAGCAGTGATGTTTTGGGGCTGTCGCCGAGCTACACAGATTTTCAATGGGGTTGAGGTCTGGAGACTGGCTAGGCCACTCCAGGACTTTCAAATGCTTCTTACGGAGCCACTCCTTTGTTGCCCGGGCGGTGTGTTTGGGATCATTGTCATGCTGGAAGACCCAGCCACGTTTCATCTTCAAAGCTCTCACTGATGGAAGGAGGTTTTGGCTCAAAATCTCACAATACATGGCCCCATTCATTCTTTCCTTAACACAGATCAGTCGTCCTGTCCCCTTAGTAGAAAAACAGCCCCAAAGCATGACGTTTCCACCCCCATGCTTCACAGTAGGTATGGTGTTCTTGGGATGCAACTCAGTATTCTTCTTCCTCCAAACACGACGAGTTGAGTTTATACTAAACAGTTCTACTTTGGTTTCTTCTGACCACATGACATTCTCCCAATCCTCTGCTGTATCATCCATGTGCTCTCTGGCAAACTTCAGACGGGCCTGGACATGCACTGGCTTCAGCAGGGGGACACGTCTGGCACTGCAGGATTTGATTCCCTGTCGTTATAGTGTGTTACTGATGGTAACCTTTGTTACTTTGGTCCCAGCTCTCTGCAGGTCATTCACCAGGTCCCCCCGTGTGGTTCAGGGATTTTTGATCACCGTTCTCGTGATCATTTTGACCCCACAGGATGAGATCTTGCGTGGAGCCCCAGATCGAGGGAGATTATCAGTGGTCTTGTATGTCCTCCATTTTCTGATAATTGCTCCCACAGTTGATTTGTTCACACCAAGCTGCTTGCCTATTGTAGATTCACTCTTCCCAGTCTGGTGCAGGTCTACAATTTTTTTTCCTGGTGTCCTTTGACAGCTCTTTGGTCTTGGCCATAGTGGAGTTTGGAGTCTGACTGTTTGAGGCTGTGGACAGGTGTCTTTTATACAGATAATCAGTTCAAACAGGTGCCATTAATAAAGGTAACGAGTGGAGGACAGAAGAGCTTCTTAAAGAAGAAGTTACAGGTCTGTGAGAGTCAGAGATCTTCCTTGTTTGAAGTGACCAAATGCTTATTTTCCACCATAATTTACAAATAAATTCTTCAAAAATCCATCCATCCATGCATCCATCCATTTTCTTCCGCTTTATCCGTTGCCGGGTCGCGGGGGCAGCAGTCTAAGCAGAGACGCCCAGACTTCCCTATCTACACACACACTTCCTCCTGCTCGTCCGGGGGGACCCCAAGGCGTTCCCAGGCCAGCTGAGAGACATAGTCCCTCCAGCGTGTCCTAGGTCTTCCGCGGGGCCTCCTCCCGGTGGGACGTGTCCGGAACACCTCCCCAGGGAGGCGTCCAGGAGGCATCCGGAACAGATGCCCGAGCCACCTCAACTGGTTCCTCTCGACGTGGAGAAGCAGCGGCTCTACTCCGAGCTCCTCCCGTGTGACTGAGCTCACCCTATCTCTAAGGGAGTGCCCAGCCACTCTGCGGAGGAAGCTCATTTCGACCGCTTGTATCCGCGATCTCGTTCTTTCGGTCATTACCCAAAGCTCATGACCATAGGTGAGGGAGGGAACGAAGATTGACCGGTAAATCGAGAGCTTTGCCTTTCGGCTCAGCTCCCTCTTCACCACAACGGTCCGATACAGCGACCGCATCACTGCGCAATGTGAATTCCTACAATGTGAATTCCTGGATTTTTTGTTCACATTCTGTCTCTCACAGTTGAAGTGTACCTATGATAAAAATTACAGACCTATGTCATTATTTAAGTGGGAGAACTTGCACAATCGGTGGCTGACTAAATACTTTTTTGCCCCACTGTATATACAGGGTACACAGGGTATACAGGGACTCCAGCAGGGCCACAGGTTTCTGTGGACACAGAATATACAGGGTATATACAGGGTACAGAGGGACTCCAGCAGGGCCACAGGGTTCTGCCACAGCAGTATACTGAATACAGGCTGTGCCACTGGGTTCTGAGTAAACAGAATATAAAGAGTACACAGGGTCTAATTTTGCGTGTGCGTGTGTGTTCACCTGAGCTGCAGATGAACTGTTGATAAAGTCCAGTTTCAGTCGTTTCTCCATATACTCCAGCTCTGCCTCCGATTTATTCACCTGGAAAACACACAAACATACACAGATATACACACACACACGAAGTGAGGCTAAGGACACAGGGACAGTCTCTAACAGTTTACAGTAAACACACAATCCACACAGTGCAGGTTAGTTACAACCCTGGTTTAGCCCTCATTCACCTAGTTCTGCACCAGTATCTTCACAGGTGCCTGGTTCTGCACCAGTATCTACACAGGTGCCTGGTTCTCCACCAGTATCTACACAGGTGCCTGGTTCTGCACCAGTATCTACACAGGTGCCTGGTTTCGTCCTCAGAGATTGTCCTCATGACCTCATCTCACATGAGGACAGCTCTGACCTGGTCTCAGTCCTTGTCCCAGTCTCGGTCTCAGTTCTGGTCTCAGTCCCAGTCTTGGTCCTGGTTTCTCACCAGAGCCTCCAGCTTGTCCACCGCCGCCTCCATCTTTATTGTTTATGTCCACACGGCGCCACTTTCTGCTTCTACATCCGGGTCACTGTCGGTAGTACTGCTGCTAACTGCTAATGCTAATGCTGCTAATACTGCCATCTTGTGGCCACAGTCCGCCAGTGTCAGGCTCTGAAGTGTAACGTTTCCAGGTGTATGTAGTGTTTAAGGTTAAAGATGTTTTCTGTCAGTTTCAAAATAAAACACATTAAGGACTCGAGGTTATGACCACAGACTTTAATGATTATTCACAAACATTATTGTGTGGAGGAGGTTGGCCCGATGGCACAGACTGGTATCCTCGATTCTGTCAGTCTGCCCCAACAGCAGCTGTGTCTACAGCATAGACTGTAGCAGAGGTTGAGGTGGGGCGTTACAAGGGGGTTCCACAAGATGGTCGACTGTGTGCTCTGTGTGAGCTAGGAGTAGTGGAGGATGAATTTCAGTTTTTGTTTTACTGTCCTATGATCTAAGAATGGTATTGTTCACAAAGATTCTACAAAGAGCATACTTTGTAGAAAAGGCCTGGACATTGAGTCAATGGACTTTATATCCGGAGAGATAGTGACTGTATGTCTTTGTGTTTTGATGTGGCTTTATCTTCCTTATTGTTGATAGTGTCATATACATAGTTCCCACAGACCAATGAATGTCACATGACCTCCTCGGAGACGCCATCTTTGATGGCACGCTGCTGTGTTTGTGCATTCCATTAAACAGAAGAATGAGAATAAATGTAGATATTCAAACGCAAATTGGAAAAAAAGGGCAACTTTTGAGCAAATAATTGTATATTAATACAATGGCACCACAGTTTAACGTGCTACGGACATGTTTTACATATTTGATCAAATTATGCAGCAAAAATTAACAAGCAATGCAAACATTTCTCAAAAACTTTAGATTTAATACCAGTTGGAGCTCCATTTAATTATTTTAATTATATTAACAATTAATTTAATTAATGCTAATGCCACACGGACACTCTGGATTGCTGTTATTGTTTATTTCCGCGTTTTTGACCGTATGTTTTGGTGAATGGTGGGCAACTGATTTTTCCAGGCGTAAAGAGCAGTTTATTTTATGACACAGATCTTTTTACAGAAGCAATGCTGTTTGTGAACATTGTTTTAGCCCACCATAGAACTATTATTATCTATTTAATACATTTACGTTGCCCTCGAGAGCCTCGGACGCGACACCGATCCTCCTCATAATAAAGTAATCTAAATAATGAAACTCTCAAGTTATCAGCATCATCAGCTATCAGCATACACAAGTTAGTACTGAGTAAATTACGTCTGTCAACACATTATAAGATACGATACGCACCTGACACAAAGTGCTCCGAGCATATTCTTGCGTGTTTTGAGGGAGTTTCTTGCCTGTTTATCTTCGCAAGCCATAACCTCCGTGGTTGTTCTGACAAAAGCTTAGTCTTCTCACATTCATGAAGTCTAATGATGGGTATACTGTAAAATCCAAGTTTAACTGAACCTCCGGCACGATTAGAACATCCATTGACCCAGCAGGAGACGACCATTTTCAACTTTATCACACGTTTCAGCTTCTTTTTCTATTTTTTGGCCCACAGAATGCCAAGACAAATGGCGCCGGGTCGGCAAATCCCCGTATGTAGTGACGTCATGTGGGAACTATGTATAGGCCAATGAGGGCTGGGCACATACTGTTTGTGTATGACACTTAAATAAAAATATTCATTCATTCATTCAGTACACCACTGTGCAGAGAGTGCATGGATGGCTTCGATACAAAAGAACCATGAATTAAAACATAATCGTTATCTGTTTATTAGTGAAAAAAGACCTTGAAACGAAAATCTAAACACACAATAAAAAGTGATGCAGTCAGAGGTGGATGATGGGCGTCACTGTGCTGCCTGCTCTGTCCGCTCGGGGAACTGCAGCCTGTCACAGTGCATGAGCTTCAGGGCCAGGTGAGGGGCCACCTCGTTGGGGTCCGTGTACAGAGTTGCTGGGATGTCCTGCAAACACACTCAGGGTTTCACTGTCTCCTGTGTCCGGGTCTCCCATGCCAAAGATGTGTGCTCTCTCTTCTCTCACACAGACACAGTCAGTGTGTTCTCTCACACACAGACAGACAGTGTGTGTTCTCTCACACACAGACAGACAGTGTGTGTTCTCTCACACTCACACAGACAGTGTCCTCTCACACACAGACTGTGTTCTCTCACACACAGTGTGTTAGTGTGTGTACCTTGAGCTCCTCCAGGCGGCTCTCTCTCATACTGAACTCTCGCAGCATGAAGTCTTTTCCCGCCTGAAACAGGACAGAATCACAAACACAGAAATGTACATCATAATATTTACATTTATCATTAAACAACTTAATTTTCTCTTCATTCAATGTGATCACATTCAAAACACACCCACACAAAGAAAGACACAGACGCACACTGACCTCGTAGTATAAACGTGTGTCGTTGACTCTGATGAGAACGCCGTCGACTCGCAGAAAGAAACGCATCAGAACAAAGAAACTTGTGGGCATCACCCTCTGCAGAGAGAGGAGGAGAGGGGCAGAGAGGTGGAGGAGAGGAGAGGAGAGAGGGGCGGGGAGGAGGAGAAGAGCAGGAGAGAGGAGGAGGGGGAGAGAGGGTGAGGAGGAGGTGGAGAAGGGGCAGGGAGGAGGAGGTGGAGCAGGGAGGAGAGGGATGGGGAGGAGGCAGACCAAAATGAGCACACATGTAGAGTGAAACCTTCATAGATCCAGAGGACTGAGGAGAGAGCAATGGAAGAGCACAGGGAAACACACACAACTCCAACTGCTCTGAGTGTGGACGGAAACTACTGCAAGGATTTAAGGAACCTACACAGACACAGACAGACACACAGAGAGACAGAGTCTCACAAAGTCACACAGAGACAGACTCACGATCTTGACGCTGATGGTGGAGACCCCGTGGTCGTGCAGCTCGTCCTCGAACAGAAGAACTTCATGAAAGAACTTGATCTGTTCTCGCACTTTGAGACGGTCCAGGTCAATACGCTGCTCTGTGGGGGTCACCTGAGAACACAGAGCAGTAGGTTAGAGTTATATCTGTTAGAACTGTATCTGTGTGGTCACCGTGGAGGGATGTGGTCGCTGTGGGGGGTGTGGTCGGTGATACCTTGATAAGTGCTTCCTCTCCGATCAGAGTGCCCTGGTAATCTGTGGTGTAGGTCCAATCGTACGGACGCACAACCTCCTTCGAGTGCTCTGACTCTGCTCTATACACAGAGAGACACACACACACAAACACAGAGAGAGAGACACACACAGAGTGAGTGAGACATAGGGAGACACAGACACAAGTTAATTCTATTGAAAGTAATAAATTACAGTTACTATTACTACAATTACTATTTGTAAAATATGTATGTTATATAAACATTTCCCACTACTGCAGCCACACTTTGCTGCTCGCTGAGCTTCAGAAGCTTCACATTAGGATTTATTTTCACGCCAATTCTGCAATTTCACAGGTTTCTCATGTTTTCTGGTGGACTGTGCCCGTTCTTCAGTTACTGTTAGACTGCATTCAGAACCACCAGGATGTTAACATGTAGTTGTCTTTTGTTAAAAGTCAAAGCGGTTTACTCAGTTTCAGCTAAACAAACTGATGAGAGGCCTCCACAACAGGATCCACCCTCCCTCACCTGCTCTGGCCTCCACAGCAGGATCCACCCCCCTCCTACTCTGGCCTCCACAGCAGGATCCACCCCCAGCTGCTCTAGCCTCTACTGCAGGATCTACCCCCACCTGCTCTAGCCTCCACTGCAGGATCTACCCCCACCTGCTCTAGCCTCCACAGCAGGATACACCCCCCCTCACCTGCTCTGCTGCCACTCCTGAGCACAGGCCACCTGGACGCTGTCGGACATGTTGTTGACCCTCTTGAGCGAGTCGATGGCGTTGAACTCGATGCCGTATCCGTCCTGGTGCTGGATCCGCAGCACGTTGTCTCCAAACAGCATTTCAGGGAGTGCCGGCATGTTCATCTCCTCTGACAGCCTGCACCAAGAACCATCAACCAACAACCATTACAGCAACCAGCAACCATTAACCATCTAAAATCATTGTTAAACTGCTGTTTTTCTTCTGGTTTCAAAGCAAAGTCAACGCTGACGTCCGCCATGCGGGGAATGCACGTACGTCACAGTACTTTAGTCCCACGCAGCAGACGCCATGTTGGACTAAACTAGGACTAAACTAGGACTAAACCAGGACTAAACTGGGATTAAACCAGGACTAAACCCGGACTAAACTAGGATTAAACCAGGACTAAACCAGGACTAAACCAAGGACTAAACCTGGACAAAATCTGTATTAAACCAGGGCTGACAATTGGGGCTAGTGCAGAACATGTGCCTTCACCCTGAGTCTCCTTACTGTCAACAAATGCATATCCATGGGAAGTACCATAGATCCTCGGGAAGTACCATAGATCCTCGGGGAAGTACCATAGATCCTCGGGAAGTACCATAGATCCTCGGGGAAGTACCATAGATCCTCGGGGAAATACCATAGATCCTCGGGAAGTACCATAGATCCATGGGAAGTACCACCTCCTCCCTGCGTTGTCCCGATCATTACGACAGATTGACTAAACTCCTGCAGCTGATATTGAATCCATACATAGGGGGAAACACAGCTTTAAACTAACCATGGACTGTATGAACATTTTGTATCTTTGTCTTTTCTCTAAAACTTTGGAACAGTACTTATAATGACACAATCAGTTTGTAAAAAGAATATTAAAAAATACTGGTTGGAGATGGTGTAAAGAGTCTCAATCTATCCACAAATTATATCTTTGTCGGAGAAATTGTTAGTGCATGTGAGTAACTCTGAGTTTAGAGACTGTACCGTTCAATGTCTTTGGATTTCATGATGTGGTTCTTGGCGGCGGTCACAGTCCACGGTCCGAAAGTGAAGTTCTGTCTGCTGCTCTGGAAGCCTCCTTGAGACAACATGATGAGGCAACGGCCCCCTGGAGACACACACCAGGAACAGTTTAAGAGAGATGACCCAGAACAAACTGGAGGATGTTCTTTCACATGTTTGATGTCGTTTTTCAAAATGCTGACAATGTGCCTTTGTTCAAATGTTACAAATATTAACACAGAGTTTAAGCCAAAGTTCGGACAGTTTCTCTGGTCTTCAGCTTCTTTGTAGGCAGCCTCCACGGCATGTCACCCGTTCAACCCTCAGCCTAAAGCTTTGGCGGCCCTCCCCATCATAAGAAGCCCATCCAGAACCTGTTGATGGTCCCTCACACTGGTTTTAAACCCAAAGGAGACGGATCAGTCCAGGCTGTTGCACCTGGTCTTTGGAATGAGCTTCCCCAGTCTCTGCACGTGTTAAGAGTCTTAAGACCTCTTTGTTTCTTCAGCTCTAGCCTCATGTACATAGACCAAGTGTCTCCAACCTTTTCAACCAGAGAGCTACTTTCCCGGGATAATAAAGGCAGAGAGCTATTCTTTTATGCGGCTCTGGGGGAAAAAAGTGATATATTGGTGTGAACAAGCTTGTTCTGTCATTATTTAACATTGCATATTTGTTACTAGTGCAATAAATAATGATACATGAAATATTGATTATATTATTTGATTTGTTAATTTCTAAATTCTTTGGCCGCATTACAGGTATCGGCGAGCTACTGGTGGCTACAGAGCCACGGGTTGGAGACCCCTGACATAAACCCATCTGAGGAGTGTTCACTATTTATTTTTATAGAACTGACTTGTGTGTGAACTAATTGTCTCTATGTTTTAATTTTTAAGCACTTTGTGATCCTAGTCTGTGAAAGGCGCTGTATAAATAAACTTTACTTATGTTCATGATCTCTAGGGGGTTTGAGACTTCACCTCATATCGTGGTCACCTTTAAATGCTGTTATACATTGTGCATTTCTCTGTTAGGAGGTCAATCCTGCCTTATCCTGTGTCTAGTATTGTCATGATCATGAACAGGGCCTGCAGATTTAAATAAAGATTGAGTTTGGGTTGCAGACTTGTGCATACCTGTGCCAGACATATACTGAATATTTAAGTAATATAACGAAATGCAGTGTAAAGTAAATGCATGTTTCTACGGTCCAGTCCTGATCACATGATCAGTATAAACAGCACTACATTTTACAGTCGCCCCATGAATTTAGTGAACAGTATTTATTCATGAATATATGTAACAACATATAGATGGAAGGAGTTTGAACACGTTAACCTGGCCCATGTGTGATCCCTACACATCAGACTATTGTAAATATAAGAGACAGCACCATGTAGCCCACAGCTGCACGGCGGGGGGAGGCTCCAGAGCAACCCGCAGCCTCGGCTCTCACCTGCGGGGGGGTATCCAGGCAGAGAGCGGGGCTGGCCACTCACACACGCCGCGTCCTGTGCAGTCTATCCCGGCTGCTGCTCACGCACGACATGGGTCTGTGCTCCAGTGTTGACGGTTGGATGTGATCAGAAATAGCATGTGTCCCCAACAAATGTGTCCCCTAGACCTGTCAGCACAGCCAGTCGTTCCTAGGCCCAGCGCCTAGGAACAAGTACGTTAGTTTATTTTGTCCATTCCATTTAGTCATAACCAATGTAAGAGCTAAAACAAATACAAAAAATACCGTTAACCTTCATATTACAATTGCTATTATTTCACATATTTAAACAAGCTTTACAATTTTTACACATATCAAAATAATGAACACCTTGTTTCCTCTATTTCAAGTATAGCTAAACTTTGTTGTCGTTACTTTTCAACCGTATTAACTTCTATTTAGACCATAGATTAAACTCCATGAGATTAAACCGTTGCTGTTTGTTTGTGACGTTTCTCTACTAAAATGTACCGCGCGCCACATGACTTCCTGTCAAGACAGGATGTGTCAAAATAAAAATAAATTAATGTTTCAATTAATAATAACAAAACAACTAATCAATCTTTACACAAAGGAAAGCAAAAATATGTTTAAAATAATTCTTTGAGTTATTTATCTTTCAAATTAGCTGCTTATACATCCGCAAGATGGCGCCAGACACCTCCTCTAGCGTTCCTCCTCCTCCTCCTCCTCCTGGCTGTGGTTGGCGCCGAGTTTGTGTCACTACTGTTTACCTTTCACCTCCTGCTTCTTCAACAGTTTCCACAGAACCCACGGGAGCATGGCGTCCTTCGTGACCGAGGTGCTCGCCAGCTCCGGGAGGCTGGAGAAGGAAGACTTGGCGAGCAAGATTAGTAAACTATCCCGAAAAGTCCAGGACACCAAGGTAATGTTGTTAGCTTAGCTTTAGCCACAGAAGACAGATGTGCGCGCGAACTTACGTGGCTTTACGTTTATAACATTTAACAGTATCTAAAACTAAAGTACGTCTTTACCAAAGCCTGTTGTTCCTACACACGTTCTCTGTGTAAATTATTATGACTTTCATAAACTTTCATAAATAAGGGGCCACAAGCCTTCATGCTTTACTGAATTGTATCATTAATATAATCTTTTATATAATTTAGAAACGTATCAAATCCATTACAAAGTCCCCTGTGTTCCGCGAGATAACGTGTCAGGCTCTGACAGATTCACTGTTGGTGTGTTTGTGTCTCACTGTGTATGTGTGTGTCTGTGTATCTTTGTCTGTATGTGTGTGTCTCTGTCATTAGGAGACAGATACCCAGCCCCAGTCTCTGACCTGCTAACGAGTGTGTGTCTGTGTCTGTGTGTATGTGTATCTCTCTGTGTCTGTGTGTATGTGTATCTCTCTGTGTCTGTGTTATTAAGAGACAGATACCCAGCCCCAGTCTCTGACCTGCTAACGAGTGTGTGTCTGTGTCTGTGTGTATGTGTATCTCTCTGTGTCTGTGTTATTAAGAGACAGATACCCAGCCCCAGTCTCTGACCTGCTAACGTGTGTGTGTGTTATCAGGAGGAGGTGTGCGAGATGATGAACAGGAGGTACAATGACTTCCTGTCCAGCCTGCAGGCCTCAGAGGAGCTCATCGAGCATGTGGAGGAGGTGTCTCGGGAGATGGACGTCCTAAAGAACTGCATTAATAATGAGGTATGAGTACAGTGGTAGTGACTTTGACAGTGACAGTGATAGTGACACTAGTGCGACATTGGCAGTAGGGGTGGGAACCTCAGGGTACCTCACGATACGATACGATACGATTCGCGATACAAAGCTCACAATAACGATTATACCACATTATGACGATTATCTATATATTGGTCAGAAATATACTGTTACAGAAATCTTTTAGTAAAGAAATCTGAATAAACACAAAATAGTTATACAGTGGGGCAAAAAAGTATTTAGTCAGCCCCCGATTGTGCAAGTTCTCCCACTTAAAATAATGACAGAGGTCTGTAATTTTCATCATAGGTACACTTCAACTGTGAGAGACAGAATGTGAAAAAAAAATCCAGGAATTCACATTGTAGGATTTTTAAAGAAAAAAAAAAAAAGGTAAATTATGGTGGAAAATAAGTATTTGGTCACTTCAAACAAGGAAGATCTCTGGCTCTCACAGACCTGTAACTTCTTCTTTAAGAAGCTCTTCTGTCCTCCACTCGTTACCTTTATTAATGGCACCTGTTTGAACTCGTTATCTGTATAAAAGACACCTGTCCACAGGCTCAAACAGTCAGACTCCAAACTCCACTATGGCCAAGACCAAAGAGCTGTCGAAGGACACCAGGAAAAGAATTGTAGACCTGCACTAGACTGGGAAGAGTGAATCTACAATAGGCAAGCAGCTTGGTGTGAACAAATCAACTGTGGGAGCAATTATCAGAAAATGGAAGACATACAAGACCACTGATAATCTCCCTCGATCAGGGGCGACACGCAAGATCTCATCCCGTGGGGTCAAAATGATCATGAGAACGGTGATCAAAAATCCCAGAACCACACGGGGGGACCTGGTGAATGACCTGCAGAGAGCTGGGACCAAAGTAACAAAGGTTACCATCAGTAACACACTATAACGACAGGGAATCAAATCCTGCAGTGCCAGACGTGTCCCCCTGCTGAAGCCAGTGCATGTTCAGGCCCGTCTGAAGTTTGCCAGAGAGCACATGGATGATACAGCAGAGGATTGGGAGAATGTCATGTGGTCAGATGAAACCAAAGTAGAACTGTTTGGTATAAACTCAACTCGTCGTGTTTGGAGGAAGAAGAATACTGAGTTGCATCCCAAGAACACCATACCTACTGTGAAGCATGGGGGTGGAAACGTCATGCTTTGGGGCTGTTTTTCTGCTGAGGGGACAGGACGACTGATCCGTGTTAACCTCTTAAGCTCGCAAGCCCCCGCCGGCGAGGGCAAACGAGAAAAAAAATACTTCTGCTGGCAATAGCAGATGTATTTTGAACTTCCTAAGCCACAAGCTATATATCATTTTAAAGCTTATTTTCCCAGCTATATTTATATGTAAGTGTAAACGATATCAGACTTTGCATTAAAAAGATATAACGCATAATATGGGCACAAAATAAATCGTGTTTGTATAAGTTTCTTACCTTTCGTCTTCTGCTGCTCCAACAAATTAGACTTTCCCCATCCTTGCTCAGTCTCTTTCTCTCCGTAAGTCTTCAGTGAAAAAGAATATCCACTTGTATTTCCCAAAGTATAATCCATTCTTCAGAAATAATCCAACAATGTGCATTTTTCTGTTGCAAAAAAAAACGCTCAGAAAAATGTTCAGGCTTCTCTTTCACATTTCACCAAGTTTGAGCTTTGTTTACCCCCACAAACATCATATCTACGTGTTCCTTGAGTCCTTAGCTTTAAAAAGAGAGGTTCCATGAAAAGAGAGGAGCAGGTTTCAGTCCGCAGGACCCTTGTGAAAAAGACGAACCGCGTCCACTTGCACAGGGTCCTTTTTCCCTTGTTGTTGATTAGCATGGCTAGCGCAATGTGCTAGCACTGAATGATTGACGTGTCTAAGTAGCCAATAAAAAGAGCTTTCTTTTGATTGGTGGGACTTGTATGAACTCTTTTCATTTTCACAGTAAAAGCGTGCGTAAAGACGCTGTTAATACTGCTGCGCATATTTTATATGCATTTACACTACTAAAAAAATAATTTTGAAAAAATGTAAAAGAAAATCACACAGATTTGTAACTTATAAGTACCAAAACTAAAAAATATGCTTTTTATGATGGTGAAATGTTAGTAAAGCAGTTTGGCACAATTTGGCACACATTTTGCCAAATTGGTTCCGAATGGCACTACTTGATAAAAAAGAGAAACAGCATAAAAACTATAAAACTTAGAAGTCTGAAACTTTACACAGTTGTTGTCAACAACACAAAATTTTCTTCGTCCAATGAAGTAGGCTTTTTTAGGGCATTTATACATTGAATTTTTTAGGCGAGGCTAAAAAAACCAGGGTTTTTTCCCAAACTTCTTTTTTTTTTTAATATATATTTTTATTGCAGACAAACACATATACAGAATAAAAAATAGAAACAGAGAAAAGGACTAGTTCAGATACATTGTAGACAGAGATTACAAACAATATGTAGTTGGAGATACAGGGGGCCAAAGAAGAAACCCAGAAGGGCACATAGGAGGGAGGGGGACTATACTATGATGTTTACAGTCTATGGTCTATACCCACACATACACCCACACCCATAAACACACACACTCCACACACACACACACACACATACACCCCACAGATAAGATAAGATATAAAGTCTGCCCGCCTGAGTTTCACCAAGCTAAGCGGAACCCAGCCAAACTTTTCCCAAACTTCAAAGGATGCAGAGTGAAATAGGGATGACATACATTATTTCAGTGTATATTTACATAAACTAGAAGGGCCTAGCTTTAAAATGATGCATCACACAAGCATGTGAGATGTAAGATGTGTTTTTAAATAAGCAAAGAGCCAAAATAGATGTAGGAGTTTAAGAGGTTAAGGAAAGAATGAATGGGGCCATGTATCGTGGGATTTTGAGACAAAACCTCCTTCCATCAGTGAGAGCTTTGAAGATGAAACGTGGCTGGGTCTTTCAGCATGACAATGATCCCAAACACACCGCCCGGGCAACAAAGGAGTGGCTCCGTAAGAAGCATTTGAAAGTCCTGGAGTGGCCTAGCCAGTCTCCAGACCTCAACCCCATTGAAAATCTGTGGAGGGAGTTGAAAGTCCGTGTTCACTGCTCTCGAGAAGATCTGCATGGAGGAATGGGCCAAAATACCAGCTACTGTGTGTGCAAACCTGGTAAAGACCTATAGGAATCGTTTGACCTCTGTTATTGCCAACAAAGGTTATATTACAAAGTATTGAGTTTTTGAATTGAATTTTTTGTTATTGACCACATACTTATTTTCCACCATAATTTACAAATAAATTCTTTAAAAATCCTACAATGTGATTTTTTTTTTTTTCACATTCTGGCTCTCACAGTTGAAGTGTACCTATGATGAAAATTACAGACCTCTGTCATTATTTTAAGTGGGAGAACTTGCACAATTGGTGGCTGACTAAATACTTTTTTGTCCCATTGTAAGTGTAAGTTATTAACTAATTCTAAACTCTGGATTCAAATACAAATATTGGCAAGAATAAAAGAATAATATTAAGTGAACAAATTAAACTTTATTTCATGATAAATGGAATGGAGATGCGTAATGTAGCCATATATTAAGTATTGATACTAATAAGAAAATGTATATATATATTTTTAAATCGATACTTGGCAAAAGCATATCAATAATCGATTGCGTGAGAAACTATCACGGTACATCACAATATCGATTTATCGTCACACCCCTAAGTAGGGGTGGGAACCTAAGGGTACCTCACGATACGATGCGATACACGATACAAAGCTAACGATACCGATATTATCACGATAACGATATAACGATTTTATCACGATATGACGACTATCGATATATTGGTTAGAAATATACAATATGCCAATTTATGGCATATAAAAGAAAAAATACACTTTATTTCATGATAAATGGAATGGAGATGCGTAATGTTGCCATATATTAAGTATTAATACCATACACATTTTTTTTTTTTTTTTTTTTTCAAAATTGATTCTCGATACTTGGCAAATGCATATCGATAATCGAATCGTGGGAGAAAGTATTGCAATATATCGAAAAATCGATATATCGTCACACCCCTACTCCTAAGTGGCACTGACTGTGATAGTGGTAGTGACTGTGATAGTGGTAGTGACTGTGGTAGTGACTGATAGTGACTGTGATAGTGACTGTGATAGTGACTGTGATAGTGACTGTGGTAGTGACTGTGATAGTGACTGTGGTAGTGACTGATAGTGACTGTGATAGTGGTAGTGACTGTGATAGTGGTAGTGACTGTGATAGTGACTGTGATAGTGGTAGTGACTGTGATAGTGACTGTGATAGTAGTAGTGACTGTGATAGTGACTGTGATAGTGACTGTGATAGTAGTAGTGACTGTGGTAGTGACTGTGATAGTGATAGTGACTGTGATAGTGATGGTGACTGTGATAGTGGTAGTGACTGTGGTAGTGACTGTGGTAGTGGTAGTGACTGTGATAGTGACTGTGGTAGTAGTAGTGACTGTGGTAGTGACTGTGATAGTGACTGTGATAGTAGTAGTGACTGTGATAGTGACTGTGGTAGTAGTAGTGACTGTGATAGTGGTAGTGACTGTGATAGTGGTAGTGACTGTGATAGTGGTAGTGACTGTGACAGTGATAGTGGTAGTGACTGGTAGTGACTGTGGTAGTGACTGTGATAGTGACTGTGATAGTAGTAGTGACTGTGATAGTGGTAGTGACTGTGATAGTGGTAGTGACTGTGGTAGTGACTGTGATAGTGACTGTGGTAGTGACTGTGATAGTGACTGTGATAGTAGTAGTGACTGTGATAGTGGTAGTGACTGTGATAGTGGTAGTGACTGTGATAGTGGTAGTGACTGTGGTAGTGACTGTGGTAGTGACTGTGGTAGTGACTGTGATAGTGACTGTGATAGTGACTGTGGTAGTAGTAGTGACTGTGATAGTGGTAGTGACTGTGATAGTGGTAGTGACTGTGATAGTGGTAGTGACTGTGACAGTGATAGTGGTAGTGACTGGTAGTGACTGTGGTAGTGACTGTGATAGTGACTGTGATAGTAGTAGTGACTGTGGTAGTGACTGTGATAGTGGTAGTGACTGTGATAGTGGTAGTGACTGTGGTAGTGACTGTGATAGTGACTGTGATAGTAGTAGTGACTGTGATAGTGGTAGTGACTGTGATAGTGGTAGTGACTGTGATAGTGGTAGTGACTGTGGTAGTGACTGTGGTAGTGACTGTGATAGTGACTGTGGTAGTGACTGTGGTAGTGACTGTGATAGTGACTGTGATAGTGGTAGTGACTGTGGTAGTGACTGTGGTAGTGACTGTGATAGTGGCTGTGGTAGTGACAGTGGTAGTGACTTTGTGTTGCAGGTGCAGCAGAACCTCCAGTCGTCTGTGAGTGAACACTCTGAGCTAAAGCAGCAGCTGGAGAAGAACACTGTGGTCATCACGATGCTCGGGTATTTAAAGGAGGTTAGAAACTCTGTTTAAGATATACTTTATTAAATACACTTTATTCAATATACTTTATTAAATATTTTATTACACGGCTCCTCACAACAGCAGTAGAATGCTCCATTGATTTAAATGTAATTTCAAAACGTTCTACCGGTCATTATTTTCTATAACGGGCCTCTCAAAACAATAATGACCGCTGCCCATGGCAATGCACTCTCTGCTTGTCTTTCAGATGCGTGGATAACGCCCCAAGTAGTTCCGGCCACTCCGGAGCTAGCCACGTTCAATAAACGCAAATACCAATCAATCAACACACTTAAATGTTAATCGGAGAAAACGTATACATATACATTCTTCACACACGTGCACAGAGATTATCAGAATTTACTGGTCTTGTCCTCATGACAAAAATACTATTTATCTGCGTCAAAAAGCGATCATGAAAAACCCGGAAGTAGTTCCGGCCACTCCGGAGCTAGCCACGCTCATTAAACGCAAATGCCAATCAATCAACGCAATTAAATGTTAATCGGAGAGTACATTATACATACAGTGTCTTGCGAGCAATTATATTGAAATGGAAGGAGTATCAGACCACTGCAAATCTACCAAGACCCGGCCGTCCCTCCAAACTTTCATCTCAAACAAGGAGAAGACTGATCAGAGATGCAACCAAGAGGCCCATGATCACTCTGGATGAACTGCAGATAACTACAGCTGAGGTGGGAGAGTCTGTCCATAGGACAACAATCAGTCGTGCACTGCACAAATCTGGCCTTTATGGAAGAGTGGCAAGAAGAAAGCCATTTCTCAAAGATATCCATAAAAAGTCTCGTTTAAAGTTTGCCACAAGCCACCTGGGAGACACACCAAACATGTGGAAGAAGGTGCTCTGGTCAGATGAAACCAAAATCGAACTTTTTGGCCACAATGCAAAACGATATGTTTGGCGTAAAAGCAACACAGCTCATCACCCTGAACACACCATCCCCACTGTCAAACATGGTGGTGGCAGCATCATGGTTTGGGCCTGCTTTTCTTCAGCAGGGACAGGGAAGATGGCTAAAATTGATGGGAAGATGGATGGAGCCAAATACAGGACCATTCTGGAAGAAAACCTGTTGGAGTCTGCAAAAGACCTGAGACTGGGACGGAGATTTATCTTCCAACAGGACAATGATCCAAAACATAAAGCCAAATCTACAATGGAATGGTTCACAAATAGACGTATCCAGGTGTTAGAATGGCCAAGTCAAAGTCCAGACCTGAATCCAATCGAGAATCTGTGGAAAGAGCTGAAGACTGCTGTTCACAAACGCTCTCCATCCAACCCCACTGAGCTTGAGCTGTTTTGCAAGGAAGAATGGGAAAGAATTCCAGTCTCTCGATGTGCAAAACTGATAGAGACATACCCCAAGCGACTTGTAGCTGTAATTGCAGCAAAAGGTGACGCTACAAAGTATTAGCGCAAGGGGGCCGAATATTATTGCACGTCCCACTTTTCAGTTTTTTATTTGTTAAAAAAGTTTAAATTATCCAATAAATTTCGTTCCACTTCACGATTGTGTCCCACTTGTTGTTGATTCTTGACAAAAAATTAAATTTTTATATCTTTATGTTTGAAGCCTGAAATGTGGCAAAATGTTGAAAGGTTCAAGGGGGCCGAATACTTTTGCAAGGTACTGTATACATTCTTAATACAAGTGCACGGAAGTTTTCAGAATTTTCCCGAAAAACCCGGAAGTAGATACCGGCACATTTTAGGACACATTTGCAGAGGATCGAATTATGGATTTAGGTTAGGTTTCTTTATGGGTCACTCACCGCCGATGTTCAGAATTCTTTGTTCCGTTTTCATGCAGTTCCAGAGAGTTCTAGTTTGGAAGTTGCTAGCCTAACTGTTGCTAGCATAGCCACGGGAAAGCCTTTGGGAACTATTTTATTTTCTGTCATTAAATAAACCTTTTGGCATTCCTAAAAGTGGACTGAAGTTTATGTTGTGTGTTCTGTTGGTATAAAGCCATATAATAAGCGGGATAACGTATATTACGCAGGTCGTTATCGGAAAATAAATACCTTCAGGGCGGAATCCCTGTCGGTACTTATTTTCCGATAATGACCTGCGTACGATACATTATCCCTTACTTATTAAATACACTTTATTAATCTCACACTGTTTAAACACTCATGGGGAGCTGATCCATAACTTTCTGTACTGTTGCAGTTCCATAATGCTATGGAGGCGTCCAACAAAGCTTTGATGGAGAAGAAGTTTGTGGAAGCAGCAAAACAACTGGAGAAGGTCTGAGCCACTACATTGTTACACTAGAGGAACAATTATTATTTATTATTATTATTATATATGATGTTATGATATGTGTGTGGGCCCCATATATATGATATTATTTTATTATATAATGATATGTGTGTGTGTGTCTGTGTGTGTCCAGGCCAGACAGAGTGAGGTCCTCCTGCAGCAGTGGGACAGGTCTCAGCTTCCTCTGCTCTCAGTCCTCAGCTCTGAGCTCAGTGTGCAGAAGGAGAACCTCCTCTATCACCTCGGCAACCAGTGGAAGCAGCTACTGGTGTGGACCCTACCCCCCTCTGCCAAAGGTCTGTGTGTGTGTAAGTGTGTGACTGTGTGTAACTTCAAACACACAGCTCCTTGTTCCCCATGAATCCTTTGAGTGGAAAAACATATTCAACAGTAGTTTACTGTTGCACTGAAGCAGGATCAGGATAAAGAGCCATATTTACTAAACCGTAATGATCAAAGTACTATAAAAACAATTTGTCTGGTGTGTGTTGGCTTCATCTCAGGTTTGAGTCTGAAAGTCTGATGCTTTCATGAAATCACTGAACAGGTTTCTCTCACTTTAATGTTCAAAACATCAGCAGAAGTTTGGACATGAACCTCTCTGTTTTTGTGAGACCCACGGCCTGTGGCTCCTGCAGCTGCAGCGCTCTGAGGCCTGTCAAAGACTATATAAGTTTTATATATAAACTATATAAGTTATATTTATATATATATATAACTATAATAGTTATATATATATAAGTTCACTTGTGTGTTTCCTGGTGTGTCCTCAGACGGAGCAGAGATGAAGGCCTTTGTGAAGGTGTCACTGAACCTGCGTGTGGGTTGTGAGGACCAGGACCAGGCTCGGCTCCACTCCGTGCTGCAGGCTCTGGCTCTGCAGGGGGATCTGCAGCACCGCATCAAGCTCTTCAGTGAGTCCCCCCCCCCCCCCCCCTTTCCTCCTTAAATACAGTATGAATTAAAAACAGTGATTTATATACAGTATGAATTAAAAACAGTGAGATTTAAATACAGTGTGATTTAATAATCTATTATAAAGAGGTAGATTTTTTCTAACTGAAAGTGAGGTTATGATGAAAGTATTGAGCAGTGTGTTTGGAGCAGGTCAGGTGCTGCTGAAGAACATGCTGCGCCCCCTGGTGGTGTACCCCGGTCTGTCGGTGCAGGTGAGCAGGCAGCAGGGGGAGGGGCTGCTGCTGGCTCTGCACAGTGAGAGGCCAGACCCCCCAGAGACCCAGACCACGGCCCAGGTCTACAGCAAAATCCTGCTGGTGCTGAGGACCCTGCACTCACACCTGCTCGGTAACATCCTCACTCTTCATCCTCTTCATCAGAGTCTTTGTAATGGTTGGTGGTGGGAGGGGCCTCTGTCAGTGTGACATGTGTGTTTAACGTTTGCATAAAGTATAATCTTTGTATCTGTGTCCTCCTCCTGCCCCTCTCTTCTTCCTCCTCCTGCTCCACTCTCTTTGTCCTACTCCTCCTCTCTCCTCCTTGTCCTCTCTCTTCCTCCTCCTGCTCCTCTCTTCTTCCTTCTCATCCTCCTCCTACTCCTCTCTCGCTCTCCTCCTCCTATTCTTCCTATCTCTCCTCCTACTCCTCTCTCTCTCCTCCTCCTATTCTTCCTCTCTCCTCCTCCTATTCTTCCTCTCTCTCACCTTCTACTCCCTCTCTCTCCTCCTCCTCCTACTCTTCCTCTCTCTCTTTCCTCCTCCTCTCTCTCTCCTCCTCCCCCTCTCCTCCTTCCCTGTCCCTTTGCAGATGTGTCGGTTGGAGAGCAGAAGTTGTCATCCATGTTGGGAGATCTGATCTGGGAGGAGTTTTCTCACTGCATCATCCACGACTGTCTGCAGTTCTCTATCCCCAGCAACAGCAGCCAGCTGGACAAGTACAGCACGGTCAGCACTGCATGCATGTATGTATGTATGTATGTATACATACATACATACATACATACATACATACATACATACATAGTGTCTTTCATTCAGACACAAGACATGTTTTATTGTCAATGGTAGAGACAGCACAATGCAAGTGTATTATACAGCATGGAGGAATGCAGTCCTCCAATCAGCAGCTGCCATGTAGCTTGGCCTTCAGAAGTCAAAACAAGGGAAAATTACTGGCTCGTGCAAATGTAATAAGGATGAGTTTGAACTTTAACAATAGTTGCTTCAAAGTGTAATGAAATCTCACAATATATACATATGTATACGTATGTATGTATGAGAACCTCCAGCGGTGTGAGCCTGAGCTGCTTTGACAACAACACGGCAAATGGCGCCGCTGTTACGTGATCATATCAAAGACCATACACGCCACGGGGCCGTAGACACGGGCACTAATACTATTCCCTCTTCTGGAATAGTAACCCCTATTCCAGAAGAGGGAATACTAGAATATTCAGTAAGGTATAAGTTTGCAGATACTTTGACCAAAGTCTCAGTGTTGTTGTTGCAGGTGATAAAGGAGACGGAGGAGTTTGAGAAGAGCCTGAAGCAGATGCACTTCCTGCGCGGAGACTGCACCGAGCTCCTTAGATATGCTCGAAACATCAACTGTCACTTTGCGAGTAAGAAGTGCAAAGACGTGATCGTAGCCGCGCGTACGCTAATGACCTCCAAGATGCACAACACGGTCAAGGTACGAGCACAGACCTACAGCTGAAGCTAACCAGGGCAGGGCCAAACTGTGGTTGTGTCCTTAGGCAAGACACTTCCTCCACATTAGAATGAGTCTGGTGTGTGTGTGTGAATGGTTGGTGGTGGTGGGAGGGGCTGATTGCACAGACTGGTTGCCTCGCTTCTGTCAGTGTGTCCCAGGGCAGCTGTGGCTATAGTAGTAGTTTATCGTCACTATGTTTGGAGATAAAGAATAATGATGTGAAGAGACTTCGAGTCCTGAAAAGAGCTGTATAAAAACTGATGCAATATTATTATTTCCTTAAAGGAGCAATATGTAATATTTGCATGTCAAGTCATCATTAAATGACCCGAATATTTCCAAAGGCATTAATAAATCATGTTCTTTTCAAACACATCTTTAACTGATAACAGTAGTTCATCCGAGATATTTGAATATCAAAATTAGTTTTACGACCCGTAAAAGTTGTTATTGTTTTGACTTTGATGTCCTACCCTCCGCCGTTTCGCCAATCAGGAAGTGTCATGTAAGTCTGTGATGGGGTTGCCAGAACTCCGTGCGGCTCACTAATCTCAGTGGTAAAATAACATGTGGCGCAGAACTAAAAAAGGTCTTGTTATGACTCTCAAATCATTAATGACAAAACAAAGACTAAAACGAGGATTTATATCGGGATGCCTTTGAACAATTGAGACAGCTGATAAAAGTTTACGTGTGATGCAGAATTTGTTAGTTTGAGTCCGTTCTTCACAGTGACTCTGCTCGTGTGAATCGGTGGTCTAGTGGTCTAAACTGTGTGCTTACAATGCAGGAACCCGGGTTCGATTCCGGGCTATGTCTTTTTGTATTTATTGCATGTTATCACATTCTATGACAGATTGCTCTAAAAACGGTAAAAGACAAAGGTCAAGACGTTTTTTTGCAGATTATAGCTTAATTGTAAAAATAATCATTTAAGACCACATGTACCCCAATTAAAATAATGTTAGTCTCTTTTTGATGTGGGACTTTTACATGTTTGTCTAAAAAATAGGGAATAAATAAAATTGAAAGGTGATATCCTCTTGAGCAAACCCTGATGTTGATATTGATATTTTGCATAAACTATGTATAATTACATTGCTTTTATTTTGTTTTTGTTTTTTATCTCAAATGTCCAAATAATAATAATAAAAAAACATGAATCAAAACATTCATTCAGCATTAGCACGGCTGTCATGGCAATGTGAATGGAGACGGACAAACAACTGATAAAATAATTCCCTGTGTTTGCTGCTGGATTTGGTGTGAATCTGGCAACCTGAGTCAGTGAGAGTGGGAGAGGACTACAAAATATTGACTGTGACTGCAGTACCACTTTTGGCCAGATTTTTACATATTGTTCCTTTAAATTTTATGCTGTTAGTTATTCTTGATTGCGTAGCTGTTATTCTGTATTGTGTAACTGTTTTCAGATCAGTCCGGAGAGCAGACTGGTGCTGCCCAAACTACCTTCTGTAGGAGCAGAGCTGAGCAAAGCAGAGAGCAGAGCAGAACCAGGAATGATGAACCAGCAGCAGCTCAGCTCCTGGACCATGTGTCTTCCCTCCTGTCGCATCAGTCAGTCCGTGCAGCAGCTCATGGAGCTAGCCCTGCACACACTGTCTGAGGCTGTAGGCAGCTCTACACAGTGGTGTGAAGACATACACACACATATGCACATGTTACACACGCACACATTTGCACATGTAACACACATTGACACACATGTCACATACACACTGTAACACACACACCCACACATACTCACTCTCTCTCACAGCTGCCTCTTGTTTCAGTTCGCTGCAGCTGTTCTTCACAGTGAGAAACATCTTCCAGTTGTTCTATGACGTGGTCCCCACTTATCACAAGTAAGAGTGTGTGTGTGTGGTGCAGATGTGATCCAGATGTGATGCAGATGTGTGTCCCTCAGAGAGAACCTCCTGAAGTTCCCTCACCTTGCAGCTGTTCAGCACAATAACTGCATGTACCTGGCTCACCACCTGCTCACTCTGGGGCACCACTTCAGGCCACACCTGCCCCAGCCGCTCAGCGAGGGAGTGGCCACCTTCGTGGACATGGTGCCCAGTTTCAGGAAGCTTGGTGAGCTACGTGTGTGGGTGAGAACCACATCCGGGTCACTTGTCCCCAGGGTCAGAGGTCAGAGGTCATGTGTTGCTGTGTCCAGGTGCTCAGTGCTTCCTCACTCAGCTCACGGTGCAGAGGACAGAGATGTTGGACCGACTGTCCACCGCACACAACCTGTGTAACCTGGACAACGAGGACAACTACATCACAGCCAGTAAAGCTGTGCGACAGGTGACACACACACAGACAGACGCACAGAGTCACTTTGCAAGTTAAACTAGCTAACATGGAGGCTAACCGAGTGTCCCTGCAGGTCATCCATCAGCTCAAACAGCTGGGCACCGTGTGGCAGGACGTCCTCCCCGTCAGCATCTACTGCAAAGCTATGGGCAACCTGCTCAACACTGCGCTCTCAGAGATCACTGCCAAAGTCACCGCTCTGGAGGTCGGTATGCTCCTCCCACCCCACTGCAGGATCTATAATAATATCATGGATCTATAATAATAACACATGAATCTATAATAATGACATAAGGATCTATAATAATAACATGGATGAGCTAAGATAGATGTCAGCTCCGGACCTCACTTGCGCTCAAGGGTGGTTTTTAAGGGTGTGAAAGCCCTGGCCTCTTCTCCCTATCCCCTAACCCTAACCCAAGTATAGGGACACCCTACAACCCCCGCGGACACGCGCAACATCTAGGGAAAGTGTGAGAATTGGGACAGGGCCTTAGTCTAACATTAAAGGACCAGTATCCTACAATACTTCTTTATTCATGGACTTGAGGATTTCACACTTTTGATTTATTTTTTTTGAAGTCGTAGAAGAGTAAAAGCCGATTGATTTGAACTTGTGCCTTTGTGCAGGACATTTCTTCAGAGGAGGGGGAGCACCTCCACACGCTCTGTCAGACCCTGATAGAAGAGGGCCCCCTGGTCTTCACTCCACTCACAGAAGAGAAGAAGAACCACAAGTACCAGGAGCAGGTGGCTCTGTATGTGAAGAAGTGGACCATGTTCAAGGAGCTGGCCATAGTGCTGAAGGCCAACCTGCAGGAGATCGTGGACCGGTGAGTCTGAGCCGAGCCAGGGACCGGTGAGCCTGAGCCGAGCCAGGGACCGGTGAGCCTGAGCCGAGCCAGGGACCGGTGAGCCTGAGCCGAGCCAGGGACCGGTGAGTCTGTCTGTGCCGATACCTAAAGCAGCTGTGGTGTCCTCAGAGACCTGTGTGTGTGGTTACAGGTGGGCTGATGGGAATGGGCCCCGGCTTATGCTGTGTGTGTGGTCACAGGTGGGCTGATGGGAATGGGCCCCGGCTTATGCTGTGTGTGTGGTTACAGGTGGGCTGATGGGAATGGGCCCCGGCTTATGCTGTGTGTGTGTGTGTGTGGTTACAGGTGGGCTGATGGGAAGGGACCCCTGGCTGTGGAGTTCTCTGCTTCTGAGATGAAGAGTCTGATCCGTGCACTGTTCCAGAACACGGAGAGGAGAGCTGTGGCTCTGACCAGAATCAAATGATCCTGCAGCAGACACCTTTTTCTGCACCAGTACTACAGCCGCACCTGTGGCTGCACCTGTGACTGCACCTGTGGCTGCACCTGTACCACAGCCGCATGTATTTATTCCACATGTATTATTTGTAAAAAAGAATCCACTGTGTTTTAATAAACAGTGAAACATTTTATACAGAAACAAGTTTGTTTTATTCACCACAGACACAGACTCACCACAGTATTAATAATGTAATATTAGCTGAAGTATTACTAAAGTGATATTAGCTGAAGTATTAATAATGTAATGAAGTACTGGCGTAAACTCTGGAACTAAACTCTCTCACACATATAGACTGAAAACACACCCTGTGGCGCCCTCTAGTGGAGGAAGCAGTTTTCAGTTATTATTATTAATAATAGTATTCTTTATTAAAATAAAACGGTTCATAGTGAAAATACAGAATACAAACCGTATTTGTATTTAGAAAAGGAAATACGTAGATAAAAAGTACTCAGTCAGAGAGGCTCTGTGGAGCCCCTCCATATATTGTGGAGGGGGCCGGGCTGGGCCGGATGTCCGCTGCTCTGCAGTCTGGTGCTAAGGTTCTACTAGTACATGGTTCTATGGATCTATCATAATGGACGGTCCTCGGTCCTGTCGTTAGCGGAGTCAAAGCAGCATGGAGCCCGCAGGCAGAGGCCTGGCCCCGGGAACAGTCCGTGTGTAGAGCGGGTCTCAGTGGGACTGTAGCCGGGACACAGTGCTCTGATCCCGCCTGGCCGTGTGTGCTGCAGCCGCTCTCCTGGAGTTAGCTGTTAGCTACATCCTGCTGTGGATGTGACACTGAGCCCCGGGGCTGTAGCATCGTGTGACCGGGCTGTGTGAGCCCGAGCCCGGGGTGATGTCCGGGGGGAACCCGCGGAGAGGCGCGGGGCTCATCGGCCTCATGAAGGACGCCTTCCAGCCGCAACAACAGCTGCAGCAGCCGCAGCAGCCTGCGGTGGTGGACAAGAGGATGGTGGAGAAGTGCTGGAAGCTCATGGACAAGGTGTGTCTCTGTCTCAGTGTCTGTGTCTCTCTGTCTCAGTGTCTGTGTCTCTCTGTCTCAGTGTCTGTGTCTCTCTGTCTCAGTGTCTGTGTCTCTCTGTCTCAGTGTCTGTCTCTGTGTCTCTGTTTCTCTGTCTCTGTGTCTCAGTCCTGTGAGCAGTGGTCCTTTCCTCCTTGGGGCCTGTAAACACTGGTCCTTTCTGAAGCCAACCTCAGGTGGAACTAGTACAAAAACTGGTTTAAATGCACACGATGCTTTTATAGTTGTTGACAGAGTGAAGCACAAACCAACCATCAGTGGTTTTGGTCTCATCAGCATCACATTTGTCTGAAGCTAACCATCAGTGGTTGTTTTGGTCTCATCAGCATCACATCCGTCTGCTTTCCTGTTTATTGGTTCAGAACAAAAGTTGTTTATGAATCAAAAGCGATGCACTTTAAGGTCTGTACTGAAATAATAGCAGTTTAATCATGACTGAAGACGTTTTTTGAATCAAACGATGGAAATCTGCCTCCTGCTTTTCAGTTCTCAGTTTAAGTATCTTCAACTTTTACTGAATCCATGAGTTGTCAGCGAGTGTTGAGTCCTGAGGGTTTGTCACAGTGTCATAGTTTATATTATTAATAATATGTTTGTTTAATAAAGAAACAGCCCAATTATTTATTTATTTAAGTTGTGTGGTCCTCAGTTGTGTGACGCTGTGTGTGGTCCTCAGTTGTGTGACCCTGTGTGTGGTCCTCAGTTGTGTGACCCTGTGTGTGGTCCTCAGTTGTGTGACCCTGTGTGTGGTCCTCAGTGGTGTGACCCAGTGTGTGGTCCTCAGTGGTGTGACGCTGTGTGTGGTCCTCAGTTGTGTGGTCCTCAGTTGTGTGACCCTGTGTGTGGTCCTCAGTTGTGTGACCCTGTGTGTGATCCTCAGTTGTGTGTTCTTCAGTTGTGTGACCCTGTGTTTGGTCCTCAGTTGTGTGACGCTGTGTGTGGTCCTCAGTTGTGTGACCCTGTGTGTGGTCCTCAGTGGTGTGACCCTGTGTGTGGTCCTCAGTGGTGTGACCCTGTGTGTGGTCCTCAGTGGTGTGACCCTGTGTGTGGTCCTCAGTGGTGTGACGCTGTGTGTGGTCCTCAGTTGTGTGGTCCTCAGTTGTGTGACCCTGTGTGTGGTCCTCAGTTGTGTAACCCTGTGTTTGGTCCTCAGTTGTGTGGTCCTCAGTTGTGTGACCCTGTGTGTGGTCCTCAGTTATGTAACCCTGTGTTTGGTCCTCAGTTGTGTGGTCCTCAGTTGTGTAACCCTGTGTTTGGTCCTCAGTTGTGTGGTCCTCAGTTGTGTGACCCTGTGTGTGGTCCTCAGTTGTGTGACCCTGTGTGTGATCCTCAGTTGTGTGTTCTTCAGTTGTGTGACCCTGTGTTTGGTCCTCAGTTGTGTGACGCTGTGTGTGGTCCTCAGTTGTGTGACCCTGTGTGTGGTCCTCAGTGGTGTGACGCTGTGTGTGGTCCTCAGTTGTGTGGTCCTCAGTTGTGTGACCCTGTGTGTGGTCCTCAGTGGTGTGACGCTGTGTGTGGTCCTCAGTTGTGTGACCCTGTGTGTGGTCCTCAGTTGTGTAACCCTGTGTTTGGTTTTCAGTTGTGTGACGCTGTGTGTGGTCCTCAGTTGTGTGACCCTGTGTGTGGTCCTCAGTTGTGTGACCCTGCGTGTGGTCCTCAGTTGTGTGACCCTGCGTGTGGTCCTCAGTTGTGTGACCCTGTGTGTGGTCCTCAGTGGTGTGACGCTGTGTGTGGTGCTCAGTGGTGTGACGCTGTGTGTGGTGCTCAGTGGTGTGACGCTGTGTGTGGTGCTCAGTTGTGTGACCCTGTGTGTGGTCCTCAGTTGTGTGACCCAATGTGTGGTCCTCAGTTGTGTGACCCAATGTGTGGTCCTCAGTTGTGTGACCCTGTGTTTGGTCCTCAGTTGTGTGACCCTGTGTTTGGTCCTCAGTTGTGTGACCCTGTGTTTGGTCCTCAGTTGTGTGACCCTGTGTGTGGTCCTCAGTTGGGTGGTCCTCAGTTGTGTGACCCTGTGTGTGGTCCTCAGTGGTGTGACCCTGTGTGTGTGGTCCTCAGTTGTCTCACCCTGTGTGTGGTCCTCAGTTATCTGACCCTGTGTGTGGTCATCAGTTGTCTGACCCTATGTGTGGTCCTCAGTTGTGTGACCTTGTGTGTGGTCCTCAGGTGGTGCGTCTCTGTCAGAACCCCAAGGTGGCGCTGAAGAACAGTCCCCCGTACATCTTGGACCTTCTGCCCGACACCTACCAGCACCTGCGCACGCTGCTGTCCCGCTACGAAGGCAAGATGGACGTCCTAGGAGACAACGACTACTTCAGGGTCTTCATGGACAACCTCAGCAACAAGACCAAGCAGACCATGGGGCTGTTCAAGGAGGCCAAGGAGCGCATGTACGAGGAGAACTCCCAGCCCAGGTGAGGAGGGGGAGGAGGCACGTACGAGGAAAACTCCCAGTCACGGTGAGGGGGAGGGGGGACGCATGTACGAGGAGAACTCCCAGCCACGGTGAGGAGGGGGAGGAGAACTCCCAGCCCAGGTGAGGAGGGGGAGGCATGTACGAGGAGAACTCCCAGCCTGGGGGGGGGAGGGGCAAGGTGGAGGGGAAGAGTCACAGAGAGAGAGCGAGAGTCTCCGAGTGAGTCTCCGAGTGAGTCTCCGAGTGAGTCTCCGAGTGAGTCTCCGAGTGAGTCTCCGAGTGAGTCTCCGAGTGAGTCTCCGAGTGAGTCTCCGAGTGAGTCAAGCGGAGTGAGGGAGTAGCAGAGTGAGGGAGTAGCAGAGTGAGGGAGTAGCAGAGTGAGGGAGTAGCAGAGTGAGGGAGTAGCAGAGTGAGGGAGTAGCAGAGATAGTCAGAGAGAGTTTATTGGTGTAGCACAATTCATACACAAGGCAACTCAAACTGCTGAACAAAACAAGATAAATAATCACAGTGCTTTGAAAAGAAAGATACAAGTAAAGCCGCAAGCGGCGTCGAACGGTCCTCACCGCCCCTGCAACTCCCCGCACCGCGCAACTCGCCTCCCCACGCCGCACCGCCCCGCACCACGCCACCCCGCACCAAGCCGCCCCCTACCACGCGGCACCGCGCCGCACTGAACCGCACCGTGCCACACCGCCCCGCACCGGCCCACACCACACCGTACACCGTAGCGCAAAGGAGATGGTGCCTCCCTGCCCCGCGCAACTCCCACTCCTTGGGTCAAATACTGTGTGAGATCAAACAGCAGAAAAACTAAATGCGCTGTGTCCCCTATGTAAAAGTTTTACTCGGCCTGTAGGGGGTGCTAATGGGACAATGTAATTTTTCACACTTTCAGGCGACCTAGGCCCAGGAGTTGAACAACCGAGTCAAGTTTAGTGAAAATCAGACTTAGTAAATGCCATTCTCACCCGTGTAAAACTTGACTCAGTCTGTAGGGGGCGCTAATGCTGCAATTTTTAATATTTTACACTTTCAGTTTACCCAAACCCAAAACTTGAACAACCGAATCAAATTTGGTGCAAATCGGACTTGGTTTGTGCAAAAGGGAGCATTGTTTTTATCTTCAAAATGGGGGAAAAAGGTCACATTTTGCCGCTCCGCTGCTCAAACAACGTTTCACTGATCAACATTCCCTGAAGTAATTTTGATGGTACATGTGTTGAGATGATGTGGAGCGATTTTGACGCGAATCCGGGAAACGGCCGAGGCTGGTTTGATGTTTGTGTGAGGTGTACATTTGCCATAGGCAATGAATGGGGAGCATTTGTCGTCGCCACGGCAACAGGGTAAAAAATAAGCCTTGGACCCTATTGACTTTTTGAATCAAGAGGGCAAAACAGATTTTTGTGCAAAATGTACGTGTCAATTTGAATCATTTCACTTTCAAATAACTTAAACCCTAGAGCTGAACAATGTATTAAAGTTTTGCAAACGGGAGCAAATTTAATGTTGTAAAAAAACTGCCAAAAAAAGGTCACATTTTGCCGCTCCGCTGCTCAAACAATGTTTCGCTGATCAAAATTCCCTGAGGTCATTTTGAAGGTACATGTGTTGAGATGATGTGGAGCGATTTTGAGACGAATCGGTGAAACGGCCGAGGAGTCGCCGCTTTCCAACCGACATGTATGAAAACTTTTGCTGTTCATTTTTCCATTTTGCAGTGAAATTCATGGGCTTCCTGTTTGTCAGAGGGCGGAACCATGATATTTTTTATTGTGTTGACTTGAGGAACACGTGTACCAAATTTCATGGCTCTACGACAAACTTGATCTCCAAAACTCCCATAGGGGTATTATTTTGGCTGTTGTAGGTGGCGCTGTTCTGGCATTTTTTGAGTCCCATAAAAATAAACACCAAAATATCAAATTTTTCACCAGGTCTGATGTTTGGGCAAAATTTTACAACTTTTCATGCATGTTCAGGGGGTCAAATTAAGGCTCAAAGTGCAGAATTTGACGTCTCTCGAGCAAAAACAATAGGCCCGAGCCCCGAACGGGGAAAGGGCCTGTTGTTTTTGCTCGAGATAATAATACCCCCATGAAATTTTTCGGAGGTCAAGTTTTTCTTAGAGCCATGAAATTCGGTACACATGTTTCTCAAGTCGAGACATGAAAGAAAATATTATTATGGATAAGCCCTCTGACAAGCAGGAAGCCCATAAATAACACTGCAAAATGGAAAATTTTCATACACGTCGGTTGGAAAGCGACTCCTCCTCGGCTGTTTCACAGATTCGCCTCAAAATTGCTCCAAATCATCTCAACACATGTACCTTGAAAATAACTCAGTGAAACGTTGTTCGAACAGGGGAGCTGCAAAATGTGACCTTTTTTGGCCGTTTTGGACAATATTAAATTTGCTCCCCCCGTTTGCACAAACAAAGTCTGATTTGCACAAAACTTTAATACATTGTTTAACTCTAGGGTCTAGGTCATTTGAAAGTGAAATAAAAGAACTTGGCTCATTAGTGCCCCTACAGATGGAGTCAAAGTTTTCAGAGTTTTTCATACTAAAAACTCTGAAATAGTCTGTAGGGGGCGTTAATGAGCCAAGTTCAATTATTTCACTTTCAAATGACCTAGACCCTAGAGTTGAACCATGGATTCAAGTTTTGTGCAAATCGGAATTTTGTATGTGTAAACGGGAGCAAATAGAATGTTGTGAAAAACGGCCAATAAACACTCACATTTTGCCGCTCCGCTGCTCAAACAACGTTTCACTGATCAAAAATCCCTGAGGTCATTTTGAAGGTACATGTGATAGAGCGTAGGAGGCGACAGTTTCATTCACTGTCATTTGCTGCTGGAGACTGTGTTGGTTCAGTGCAGTTCCAAATACAGGAGATGATACTGAGGAGAATCTCTCTGTATTATCTGACTCAGTACTCTCAGTACTTTCAGTACTCTCAGTACTCTCAGTATCAGCTGAGTCAGTACTTTAGTCCAGGGCAGTGGTGGTGAGGCCTGTGTTACTGACCCGTGTCTGATAAATAGTGAAAAGGACACTGCCGATGCTGATGGAGCAGATCTAAAAATACAGGTCTGTTGAAACAATGACTCTCTGCAGCGTTGCACAAGAGCAGCTCTGATTGGCTCAAGACGACCTACACTTTAGATGTTGTGACAGGATTAGGGCTGTTTTCATCTGAAGGAGACTGCACCAATGACAGTCTGAGGCTGTTCCCAAACCTGGATTCAGATAGATTCAGATGTACTTTAAGGTGGAAAATAAGTATTTGGTCAATTACAAAACACACAGGTCCCTGAGCCTCAGTCTCTACATCAAACCCAGAGAAAGTAGTCTTTCCCAGTGACACATCACTGCAGGAGGAATGGGCCAAAATGACCTCTGTCATCGCCAACAAATGGAATATAAAGTATTGATGGACTTTTGATTTTGACTAAATATTTATCTTACACAATTTCCATATAAATTCTTTAAAATTCTGTGTTTTTTCTATTTTGTTTCCACTTTGTCTCCGAGCTGAGGTTTAACTGTGGTGAAAGTCACAGGCCTCAGACTGGGAGGACTTTGACTCAGTGGTGTCTGACTATTTCCCTATTCTGCTTCTGAACCAGACAAACATGAACTTTTATCTTTCAAAGAAATAAAATGCATAATCAAAAAAAAATCCACTGAATGCTAGCTTGATCCTGATTGAGTCTCTGCTGTGTGTAAAACCGTATGATGAGAAGTGAAGGACACCACTTGACCTGTGAGGCTCTAACTCGTCCTCTGTCCTATGTCCTCTCTCCTATGTCCTCTCTCCTCTGTCTCCTATGTCCCCTCTCCTCTCTCCCCTCTCCTCTCTCCTCTGTCTTGTCTCCTCTGTCCTCTGTCCTCTCCATCCTCTCTCCTCTGTCCACTCTCCCCCCCATCCTCTCTCCTCTGTCCTCTCTCCTCGGTCCTCTTCCAGGAGGAACTTGACCAAGCTGTCCCTGATCTTCAGCCACATGCTCGCTGAGCTCAAGGCCATCTTCCCCAACGGTCTGTTCCAGGGAGACAACTTCCGCATCACGAAAGCCGACGCTGCGGAGTTCTGGAGGCGTTCGTTTGGAGACAAGTGAGTCCTCTGCACACGCGAGTGAGTCCTCTGCACACGCGAGTGTTTCATGCTAATGTCAGTTTGCACACATGAGTCCCCCACTACTATCACACCGTACCATTCTAGATGTTAGCCCAGTGTGACTCTGTCCTCTGTCTCAGGACCATCGTGCCCTGGCGTGTGTTCCGCCAGGCGCTCCATGAGTTCCACCCCATCAGCTCCGGTCTGGAGGCCATGGCCCTGAAGTCCACCATCGACCTAACCTGCAACGACTATATCTCAGTGTTTGAGTTTGACATCTTTACCCGACTCTTCCAGGTTCGTCTCTCATGAACAACAGCAGAAATAAACAAACAAAACCACAGATAGAAATGATCTGAGTACAAGCCACAGCTGCAACAAGAAAAGGTTGTCCACATACGACATGTGTGAATATGAGCTGCAGGTTTTCATGTTTAGTTTAGCTGTGTCTTAATGTCATTATGTAGTAGTGTTCACTTGAAATATTGTAGTGTATGTGTGCGTGCGTGTGTGTGTAGCCGTGGTCCTCCCTGCTGAGGAACTGGAACAGTCTGGCTGTCACTCATCCTGGATACATGGCGTTTCTGACCTACGACGAAGTCAAGGCACGACTGCACAGATTCATCCACAAACCTGGCAGGTGAGACACACACGCTTACACACACAGGGCAGGTGAGACACACACACACACACACACACACACACACACACACACACACACACACACAGGTGAGACGCACGCACACACACACGCAAGTGAGACACGCACACACACGCACCCTCACGCACCCTCACTGGATAGGTGAGACGCACACACACACACAGGTGAGACGCACACACACACACACACACACAGGGCAGGTGAGACGCACGCATGCACGGTTTGCAGAGTCTGCCTGGTTCTGACCATATGTCTGCTCTGGTTTAGAGTGAAATTCTGAATGCTTTATTAGTATTTTTCACCAAAAAAGATGAACTTCTCCACTAGAAAATGGACCTTGGTTTGGACGGTTTGGACATAACTGAGATTTCACTGAATACATCAACTATTCAAGCTGCGGCTCCACAGGACGGTTCTGTGACTCTGGGGCTCATGACTCTGTGTTCTGTGTTCTCTGTGTCCCTGATGACTCTGTGTTCTTTTCTATGTTCTCTGTGGTCTCTCAGCTACATCTTCAGGCTCAGCTGTACCCGTCTGGGGCAGTGGGCCATCGGGTACGTGACCGCGGACGGCAACATCCTGCAGACCATCCCCCACAACAAACCTCTGTTCCAGGCCCTCATCGATGGATACAGGGAGGGATTGTGAGTCAGACACACAAAGACACACACACACAGAGACACAGGCGCGCAGATACACACACAGAGACGCACACACGAGACACACAGACACTTACACACACACAGAGACGCACACAGAGACAAAGACGCATTCACACACGCAGGCAGACATACGCACACACACACACAGACGCAGGCGCACACGCACACACCCAGATGCACGCAGAGATGCACTCACACAGAGACAAACGCAGACACACACACATTGACACACACAGAGACGCGCACACAGATGCACGCAGAGACGTACACACACAGATGCACACACAGACGCACGCAGACACGCATACACACGCACACGCATACACATGCACACGCATACACACGCACACACACACACTGTAGTAAGGCATCAAGGCTGCAGTATATAATTACAGAAGTTTACACACCGTTAGTTTAATGAAACGTTAACTTTACGTTTAGATTTGTTGAACTTGGACTGAAGCTGGTTCTCGTTCTGTGGACCATGTAGCGCAGTCATCTGACCTGTCTGGTGCCACGGAGGTCACTAACAGACTTGTGTTTGCAGTTACCTGTTCCCAGACGGTCGCGCTCAGAACCCAGACCTGAGCGGACTGTGTGAACCGTCTCCTCAGGACCACATCAAAGTCACACAGGTACTACTCTCAAGGGGAGGAGGCCCAGGGTGGAGGGGCCCAGGGGGAGGAGGCCCAGGGGGGAGGAGGCCCAGGGGGGAGGAGACCCAGGCCCAGGGGGAGGAGACCCAGGGGGAGGGGCAGCAACACTGTGACCCTCCCTTCTGCGTGTATGTGTGTGTGACTCTCCCTCCTCTGTTGTGTGTCTGTGTGTGACTCTCTCCCTGTTGTGTGTCTGTGTGTGACTCTCTCCTTGTTGTGTGTCCAGGAGCAGTATGAGTTGTACTGTGAGATGGGCTCCACGTTCCAGCTCTGTAAGATCTGTGCAGAGAACGACAAAGACGTGAAGATCGAGCCGTGTAGACACCTGATGTGTACTTCCTGCCTCACAGCCTGGCAGGTGTGTGTGCGCACGTGTGTGTGTGTGTGTCTGTGTGTGTAGTCAGCTGATGTTGTGTGTTTGCTAACAGGAGTCTGAGGGTCAGGGCTGCCCGTTCTGTCGCTGTGAGATCAAAGGTACAGAGCCCATCGTGGTGGACCCCTTTCACCCGAAGGCGAGTGGACTGTCCTTCTCCTTCCACCAGGGGGCGAGAGCCGAGGGGGCAAGAGCCGAGGCTGCGACCAATGACGACGAGGACGACGACCGACTGGAGGAGCAGATCCTCGCCATGAGCCGCCTGGCCTGCTCCAAGGTCAGTGTGGTCAGTGAGAGGTTTGAGCAGTGCTCCCATCTCCGATGCATTGGAGGCATGGACACATGTTCACAGGCCGTGTCCTGAGGCCGTGTCCTGAGGCCGTGTCCTGAGGCCGTGTCCTGAGGCCGTGTCCTGAGGCCGTGTCCTGAGGCCGTGTCCTGAGGCCGTGTCCTGAGGCCGTGTCCTGAGGCCGTGTCCTGAGGCCGTGTCCTGAGGCCGTGTCCTGAGGCGTGTCCTGAGGCCGTGTCCTGAGGCCGTGTCCTGAGGCCGTGTCCTGAGGCCGTGTCCTGAGGCCGTGTCCTGAGGCCGTGTCCTGAGGCCGTGTCCTGAGGCCGTGTCCTCTGGGGAACAGTCTTTTTCATCTTAGGTTTCTGTGACCCTATGATGTAAAGTCTTATAGTGATCATGTCCCTAATATTACTATATCACAGAATCACATACGGTCTGTATCGCAGAATGTATTTGGGCCAGTCTCCAGCCCTAATGTTTGTCTGGTTTCTTCTGGATGTTTCTCTCTCTCTCTCCCTCAGGTGGAGCGGCCCCCCTCCCCAGTGTCCCAGCTCCCCCCTGTGCCCCCCCGCCTAGACCTGCTGCAGCAGAGGCCTCAGACAGCCCCCACCAAGGTACAGCTGCCACCCCCTCACCCTAGAGCTGCCACTACCTCACCCTAGAGCTGCCACCCCCTCACCCTAGAGCTGCCACCCCCTCACCCTAGAGCTGCCACCACCTCACCCTAGAGCTGCCACCACCTCACCCTAGAGCTGCCACCACCTCACCCTAGAGCTGCCACCACCTCACCCTAGAGCAGCCCCCACCTCACTCTAGAGTTGGTTTTGAACTTACTGATACAGATTGTATCCAGGATGTAACGGTGCTCCTTGTGTTGCAGACGTCCAGCCACAGAGACAAACCTCTGCCTGTGCCCCCCGCCCTCAGAGAGCTGCCCCCCCCTCCCCCCCCAGAGCGCCCTGTGGCAGTGGGACAGAGACGGCCCCTCCCTCTTACTCCTGACCTCCAGCCGGCCTGGGCCTCCAACTACATGGTCCCACGGCCCGCCACCAAGGCCCCCCTCTCCGGGACTCACACCGCCACAAACGCAGTCTACTGTCTGTCAGCCAGGTACCACCCACACGGTCTGCCAGGTACCACCCACACAGTCTGCCAGGTACCACCCACACGGTCTGCCAGGTACCACCCACACAGTCTGTCAGCCAGGTACCACCCACACAGTCTACTGTCTGTGACACCAACACAGTTTACTGTCTGTAAAGTGCTGACTATGGTCTCTGAAAGGCGCTATATAAATAAAGTTTACTGACCAGATACATCTATTAAAGTGGACCAGTTCAAAATAGTTCATATTTCACTCATTATACACACAGCCCGTACACACACGCACACGCACATGCACATGCACATGCACACGCACATGCACATGCACACACGCACATGCACACACAGACACATACAGACTCTTGTGTATCGCAGGGCCTCACAGAACCCCAGATTCGAGCAGATTAGAAAATCAAGAGGTAAAACTGTTGTACTTCCTTCACTTTCACCTGAAGTGTCAGCGTTGGACTCATGAGTCGCAGCTCGGCCTCAGCAGAAGGTGTGCCTCAGTGGGGGGCACTGTGGGGGGTGTAATGGGCCATCTGGAGCTGTGGCCTGGTACGTGAGCAGAGGAGGAGATGCCAAAGGGTGGGCACAGACGCAGGCCTCTGATTGGCTGAGCTCCTGCCTCAGTCTGCCACCTCCAGACATGGCAGCAGGACCGGCTCCAGGGCCTCACTCTTTACTGTGAGAGTTGGAACAATCTGTTCTGACCTGGTTCACTTTGATCCAGATCTGTGGCAAATGCTTCTCTCAAGGAGATGGTCATTCACCTGTTTTTCTATCTAATGAGTAAAGGGGCAGAGTGTAGAGCCGTACGGCAGGACTGGATACAGAAGAGCAGCAGCTTTTTCTCTAGTTCATTGTATCAGATCAATATTAAGATTTTACAAATGCAAATTAATGATGCGTGTGTCATGCCTGCTACACCTGTGTCATTGGCATAAGTGTGGCCTTTAGCATCAGTGTGGCGTTAGCATAAGTGTGTCGTTATGGATCATGGATTGTCATGGATCTATTATAATAACTGGATAGGGTATTGCTAGTTTATAGCTGAAGAACCATGTCCTCAGGGGATTAGACCAGACTAAATTCACGTGGGCGACCCAGAAATTTTCCCCATAGAACTCAATCTAAATTAAAACAGCTCGACCTCAGCTGAACCTACAGCTTTAATAAGGTCGGATTTTGTGGGGATTTTAGTGTCCCTTGTCATCCTGAACTTTTTTTCTTCTTAAATCCTTCGGTTTTCTTTAAATCCACACTTTAGTGCCACAAACTCTGCTCGTCTGGCTCTCGCTCTAACTCCCGCTCTGATGAACTGCTCTGAACCCCTCTGTGCACGTGCATGAGACCCACACTGGGAACCGGGAGGACCAGACGATGCCCAAATACAGGCGAGTTTCCCATAGATCTTTGCGAGTTCCAGGCGAGTTCCGTAAATGTCAGCGACCGTGCTGGCACAAAGCGCCACTGAGCACAACCATTCATTTGAATATGGCGCCATCTTGGATCGCTGGGGCTTGGTGTCGTTAGCATAATTGTGGCTTTAGCATCAGTGTGCCGTTAGCATCAGTGTGCCGTTAGCATCAGTGTGCCGTTGGCATCAGTGTGTGACGCCTGTGTCCTCTGTCCAGTTCTCTGTCCAGTGCTGAGCGAGCCGCCTTTGACTCTGAGGTGAACGAGTACATGAGTCCCAGCTCCCTCCCGGCCCCTGGGGCCCCTGGAGGCCCCTGGTTCCTGGGCTCCATGGTCCCCCCTGCCCCCAGTCAGATCCAGCCGGCGCCTGAACCCAGGTAAAGTACTTCATTTATGAGTTTAGCTGAAACCTGAGGCCCTTAAAAAGTCTAGTGTCGAAACAAAGTGCTGTGTCCTCAGTGAGGCAGCAGACAGTGACTCTGATGAGCCTCAGGTCTATGAGTCCATGTCCAACATCCAGGAGCGCGCTGCTGCGGACCCCCTCCCAGGTGAGCCCCCCGTCAGGAGCCTGCTCCAGCCTCACCTTCATCATCATCGTCTTCATCATCATCGTGTGTTTCAGAGTCCCTGTGCTCAGCGGAGGACACACTCCAGGACAACGGTCAGGATCAGGAGAGTATCTATGAGTATGCTGTCCCCCGGCCTGTGGCCCCCCTCACCCCTGGGGCCCCCCTCACTCCTGTGCCTGCCTCCCGCAGACCTGTCCCAGAAGTGGAGCCGTCTGAACCTCTGCAGACAGGTCAGAATACAGCAGTGGTTTTAAGTGTGTGTGTGCCCTGCTCTGACATGAATGACCTGTTGTCCTCACTCTCCTCTTCTGCTGCCGGGACAGAAGCAGAGGATTCTGAGCTCCCACCCAGACCCCTCCCCAGACGGGCCAACTCTGAGCGCCTCCAGCCTCGCCCTGGGACCCCCTCTGGCCAGAGCCTCCAGCCCCGCCCTGGGACCCCCTCTGGCCAGAGTCTGTGCCTGGGACCCGGGCCTCTGCAGGGGGGACCCGGGCCTCTGCATGGGGAGATCGAGTGCCTGGTGTCTCAGGGATACTCCCTGCAGGACGTACAGAAGGCTCTGCTCATCGCTCAGAACAACCTGGAGACGGCCAAGAACATCCTCAGAGAGTTTGTCTCCATCAGCAGCAGCACGCATGTGGCCACGTAACTGCAGCCGCAGACACAGCTGCAGCCACAGCTGCAGTCAGACTGACACGGCCGAGCTATGCCTTAGAGCAACAGGAGAAGGTCCTCCAGCTGCCCCCGAGCCTCCCAGGGCATCTCCAGCTCTTTGAGTGGTTTGAACAAAGGCTTGGTCCTGGTCGCTCTGAGCTCACAGCTGTTTGAACACAGAGGTTTGTGGCCTCTCCACAGAGCAACAGCAGATGCAGAAAATTACTAAAACATCAGCATCAACTCCTTATGAAGTATGACTTAGTTTCAGGCATGTGTCTTTTCTCTAACGGCTCGTACACACCGCAAGTGTGGCTTGCGTGACGCGGCTGTGTACACACCGGCAGAGCACAGGGACGCGGCTGTGTACACACCGGCAGAGCACAGGGACGCGGCTGTGTACACACCAGCAGAGCACAGGGACACACCGGCAGAACACATGTGTTCCATGGAGAAGTGTAGAGGAGAGTACAGAGAACTATAGAGCAGTAATATCCACATGTTTGTGTTTGTCTCTGGCTCCTGCTACAGTTTAGATTCCAGCTCTTTGTGTGTGGAGCTGATCCAGAGCCGAGACATCAGCTCAAACATATTTCATGTGTTTTGACTGGAGCGCGATGCTACGCCCCTGCTCTGTCTGCTCCTCGTGTGCGGCCCTCGCTACGGCCCCTCGCCATGGCCCCTCACCAAGGCCCCTCACCACCCTGACACTACGACAGTCTCTCCTGGAGTCTCTGTCGGCCTCTGCCAGTACCATGACGCTGTGCACTAGCCTTAACATTCTATTATGAAACTGAAGCTAAAGTTCAATGATAAAAGAATTATTTAATTATTCACATTAAAGAGACATGAAAAGCTTTGCTCATTTGTTCCATGGCCTCACACAGTCTGTGGGTCTGAGCTGCACTGGTGCTGAAGGGGACCCCCCTCTAAGGGAGCCCCCCCCTCACCCTGGGACTACAGATACACTCATGTTTACATTAATGTGACTAACCTGCACTGACGCTGTCCTCACACATGACATCAGGAGTTCTACACACAGAGCAGGGGAGCTCTGGGTTTAACCTGCACTGGGACCCCTCTGTAGACCCCTCTAGCTCAAACAGAGTGGAGGCCAACCATGAAGGATGATTCTCTATGATTCTCTATGATTCTTTGTGATGCTCTGGACGTTGTGAGGCCTGGACTCTGAGAACACTCGTCTCTAACACTGTCACTGCTTTTCTAACCTCTGGCTCTAAAGCCTAGCGTACACCGACAGAGAAACTGGGGACAACTAGTTGCAAGGCGGCTTTTGGCAACTGAGAGGGGATGGTGGGAGATGATCAGTTGCCGAAATCGGTCGATGTGCACGCTATTACAACTGGAGATAAACAGTCGGTCTCCAGTTTCAGTCAGTTGCCCGTGTTCTACTTTTCGGCAACTAGTTGTCCTCAGTTTCGGAGATATGACCCGATGTGCACACTCCATGCGCCGCTCCGACAACGTGTGTGTATTGCGTGTATTGCGCGCCCGCAACAGTTTATGTCAGAAAACACACTGTAGGTGACGGCCAGTTGCTGTCGATGTACGTGCTGTTATTCCCGAGACTGGTCTGCTACTGGGAGTTGCCCGTTTTCGCCACATTGTCGATGTGTGCGGGGCAGCCACTCGTATGTGACGGATATAATCAGTTGCCAGTCCGATGTACGCTAGGCTTAACTGTGTCTGTGCTTTGTTCTTCAGCAAGAAAAACCAGTTTAAATGTCCGGTGTCATTCACTCCTTTAAAGGTCTGGCGTTATTGACACCTTTAAGATTGTATTTTTTAGCCAAAGTCCCTGAAGCAGAAGGGAAGAGGCTTGAATGTTTCACGTTCAGCTCTTTGTTGGAGTCACATCTGTTCTGACCTGAAAGGCCTTTGTGTGCCTCTGATACCTCTGTGTGTGACCAGGGCCGAGGTGTGTGTGTGACCAGGACCGAGATCTTGTTATTGTTGTAAAATAATCTGAATTAACCTGAAGTGGGAGGAGTTAGTTTAAAATGTTTTTAACATTCAACTCTTCAGGAGTTTTCTCAGACTCGTGTGAAACAGACAAAAGAAGTCGCCCTGAAACTTTGAGAGATTGGCCGCCTTCACAGCTTTTGGTCTGAAGCTGCAGACGATGCTTTACTGTGTACAGCTCATTGTGCCTTTTGTCACTCACACCTCAGCTTCACATATCCACCCTCAACCTCTCCTCTTTCTCACCCTCTCCTCACCCTGGAAGTTCCTGGAGGTTCCTAAAGCCTCCCGGAGGTCCTCTCCCTCCCCCTCTCCTCACGCTCTCCTCTTCTTCTCCTCACCCTCCCCCACCACAGCGAGGAGCAGCCACCAGGTGCCACAGCCGTTCACTTGTGTCTGCGGCTGTAGGATCCTGCAGCTGTGTTTGACCTTTGAACCATGCTCCATTGTCCTCATCACACACAGACTTGAAAATACTTTTAGCGCCGTCCTCGCTCACATGTCCCCCCACCCCCTCTGTCCACATCTCCTGTCCTCACACCTCCTCAGACTGTCCACTTGAGGGCAGTGTTTTGCCATTGTTCATTTTCATCCATCTTTAATGAATCTTATTTTAGAAATTAGTTTTGAACATGAGAAAAGAATGATCCTCACTTCTAACGAGTCGAAGACAAAAACATTTTCATAAGTTGGATTTTTTTGTAGAAGAATAAGTTTAAACAAAATAATAAATCTTTAAGCTGTGTCTTTGAAAACAGGAGTTTGAAAGCAGAACATTTGGACAGAAGGGAGATGGATGTGATCATGGTGCTAGCATGATGTTTGCATGTAGCTAACATGATGTTAGCATGTAGCTAGCGGATGGAGCTTTGAGGGAACAGTTTGTCACATGGTTTATCGTAATTGTTTCCTTAATTTATATATTTCTTCCAGAATAAAGCTGTTTCCTGTAAACTAACTGTTTACTGCCTTCATGTTACTTTGTAAATAAATATAAGTTTATTTATTTTTCTTACATTTCCTTGATCTTCAATGTTGCCATTGTGTCTATGCTAAAGCCATTAAGATTTGTAATTAGTAATAAACAGTATTTTGAGTAAATCTGGAGCACTTTGTTTTATTCACTTGACCCTACACATGTTTAGGTCACATGACCCCAACCCTACTGTCCGTCGACGTCAGTGTGTGCGGGTCCAAAAGGTCACGTGCGCTGACAAGCTGCAATCTCACTCCCCCCGATGGGGGTGTACCCGGAAAGAGAATTACCCTATGCTTTTATGTATGGCATCTTCTTACCTAAACGTCTTTACTGGAGGGTCCAAACGTGTCACATATCTATGTAAAACTGTTGCTTTATTTATTAAACGTTGCAGTTAAATACAACAAATATTTTAGTCTTTCTTTGTACTGCTGACTCCTTGTACAGTCTGACACAGGACCTGACTCCTTGTACAGTCTCACATAGGAGCTGACTCTTTGTACAGTCTGACACAGGAGCTGTCTCCTTGTACAGTCTGACACAGGAGCCCTGGTCTCGGTCCAAACCAAACTTCTGTCGCAGACGTTATGGTTTTTCCAGATCTGGGTTAAAACAACACTTTTTAAACGGCACTAAAGAAAAATGACTCACAGATGTGAAAAACAGGAGACGCACACACACACATCCTGCTACACACACGCTCACACACCCTCCGACTAACACACATGCACACACACGCACACAGAGACAAACTGAAATATGACGTTGCCCGTTTCATTTTTTTCAGACTCTGTAACTGTAGTTTTCAAATGGACAAAATAATTTGGATTTCAAAGTGAGAGTCTGGTATCAGTACTTGACTACTTTAGTTGTGTATTTAAATGTAATTGTAAATGAGCTTGGATTCCTTCAGGCCCTGTTTATACTGAGACGCTGCGCAGACGTTTCCAGGCTATTAACAGAAACGACCTGGCTCCTAAGGCTGAGTTTACACGGAGACAATGTGGCAGTAAAACGGTATAGTTGGATGTCGGTTGCTACCAACCGTTCATACGAAGACTGTGTTCCAGGGGGGTGAAAACGTAAGTGTTCAGATCCAGCCTGCAGAGTGGGACAACTCAGAAACGCTGCACAGCGGGGGCTCTCTTTCACACCCGCGAGGGAAAAAAGGTGTGAAATCCCCCTCTGCTCTGACCCCCACCTCCGCGCTGCTTCCCGCACGTAAATTTGGACATGCGCAGTAGCGGAGAACAAACAAAAACAATAATGGCGCCGCGCGCACTAACTAGCTTCGTGGGCTTCGAGCGCGGGACAGAGGATAATTCTACTCTTTCGTTCGTCCAAACAAGACCACGCGAAGCTCTAGGTTCAGTTCTACGTCATGGTGCTACGTCCCTTAGGACTTCGCTAGTGGGATATCACTCGTGACCCCCAGGTCACACGCCAGAGAGATCAAAATAATTTGCTCCAATCACCAGCCACCCTTCTCTATAAATGCCCCTGCACAAGGCCGCACCCCCTCTTTCACTCTGGCGCCGTTTGAGATCTACCACAGTACTTACTTCATTCTGAGATGTCTTCCTTGTTCGTCCGAGTTCCCTTCGCCCTCTGGCGTCGGACGTCGTCGCTGGATCCAGACGGTGGAGGACTTCACCTCTGTGGGCGCCACCACTCGAGGAAGGAGGAGGATGCAACCCACGTTGTGCCTGCGGATGGACCCGTTCGTCCATTACGCGACACGTGAGTGGCCTAAGCCCCTAGCAGCCAAGAGGCCTGCTCTGGGGTACGACTTTTACTGCAGCGGGCAGGACTGGTCCTGGACCGGTGATCGAGGATTCAGTCCGCATGGCCCTGCAGCCCTCCGTATCCGTGTGGCCCGGCACCAGACCTCTCCTTCCCTCCGAGCGGGACAGGATGTCTTGGCGATGCTGGATAGATGTTATGCCAATGCAGCGCAGGTCCTCGCATTGACTAACAACATGGCATTCATCACGGGGGCCCTGGATATGTCGCTCTCTTCTGGCCAGGCGCTCAGTGGAGACCTCCTGTCACAGGCGAGGACCACCTCGGCGGCGACTCTGCGCATGTGCCAGACGCTAGCTGTGGACGGTGGCCGCTCCATGGCGGCAGCCCAAGTCGGGGCCAGGCACCTTTGGCTTGGGCTGGCTAATATCAGGGAGGCGGAGAGGAGGCAGCTGCTGGACCTGCCCATCTCTCAGATGTCCCTCTTCGGCCCGGACATGCAGGCCTTGGTGGCGAGACTGGAATCTGCAGCTAAAGACTCGGCTAGGCTAGCCCCGCACCTAGCACCGAGGCGCGAGGCCCACCAGCCATCACGGAGCCGGGACAGAGGTCGAGAACGTTCGCCCGGGAGGCATCCTGACCCGTATCCGCGCTCTGTTGTCCATCGTCCCCCCTCGACGAGGCCCCGGGTCCAGACAGACCCATGGGTGGCTCGCTGGAGCAACGCACCCACCGCCGACCTCCCTATGGCAGAGGAGGTCGGGGTGGAAAGTTTTCCTTCAATAAAGGCCGACCGGCATTTCATCATTACTCGTTTCTGAGTCTCATTTGGGGGTATGTAGCATGTCAAATAATGTGAATTCTGATTGTGTTACTTCCCGAGCACATAACGTTGCTTCGCTAGGCCTGCGGCCCCCAGAGCAGGGTGTGCAGTGTGCTACGCGAGCTACGAGTTCCGGTTCTCTGGTTCATGCTATGCCCTCCCAGAGAGAGGTCAGGCGGAGGGATCTGGTGAGTGATGATGTGTGTGCTTTGGCCGAACGCGTGTTAGC